CATTTACAGACAATGACCCCCACATAAATGACAGCAATCCTAAAACAAAATCTATCATAAAACACAAACAGTTACCACATCCACCAAGGGCATCTTTTTAACCACTTGTAGGGGTATACCGAGATACCCCTACACACCCAAGTTCAGAGTTACTGACAAGCTCGAACCTACCAAACCAATGCAAACATAACTGTTGCTCCTGAACTTTAATTTCTCCCCAATTACCAAGCCAACATACCCCCTACAATCCTATCCATCCCCCGCCACAGGACAGAGCTTGACCACCTCAAGCCACCTGTGCGCCCCCTATCCGCCTATGCAGGGCCTGCCTCAATCCTTCCTGAAAACCCAAGTTCAAGAAGTCTGTGCCCACCTCAGAAAGATGTACCCCATCATACCGAAAATAGCCAGGAAGCATAGCTTCCAATTCCCTGTTCCTAACTACCACACCCCTTAATCTCTTAATGTAAACCGCCATTGACTGATTGATCTTAATGGGACATATAGCTATCGCTGCATGGACTCTAGCAAAACGCCAATGCATATACAGCACCATTTCAGACCAAATCACAATTACACCTTGGACCAAACCCCTCACCTTATCCACGTTCCTCTTCATGGTCCAGATCAATTCCCTTTGGGGGACAAGATTCAAGTCATTACCCCCGGCATGGATTAAAATGAAATCCGGAACTATGCCTTCCAGAACTATCTTCCTAAACAATTCAGAGCAGATGTCACTTCAACAAAATCCACGAAAGCCAAACCAATGCAATTTGACAAAATCATGTAGAAAGCCCAGTTGTATTCCTTTGGGTCGAAATGCGCCTCTCCGTTCCGTCCACTATCCAGGCAACCCAACCTAAAACAGAAGAGAAACAGATAGAACCAACACATAATAATTTTTTATTTTTCCCTGCGCCGACTTACACTAATCAATCAGGTCGAACATAAGACTTAAACCTCACCGATTCCCACCGACCAATCTTTTTAACTAGTTCATGAGTGAAACTCAGCCGAGCCGCTTCCGTTGCTGCCCCAATCCAAAATGAATGCATACCAAACTGTGACGAATCCAGACAGAGTTGCCCTAAGCTTAAGTGAAGGACAAGGGAAAACTGATATTTTGACACATCTTTGTGGATGAAAAAGGAACCACCCGCATACGAACGAACAGCCAGATACCAGGAAGCGCAACCCACCAGACACGCCCGCGAGTCGGGTAAACAAATAAAATTAACCAAGCAGCCCATACTGAACACATCCGTTTTTGAATATCGAATATTAATACCAACCTTATCCCCCCAGACTTCCACGTCGGAAACCAGAATTCCCACCACCGGATACTACTTACCAATTCACTGATACGGAAAGCGTCAAAAAATGCTCAAACAAATGCCACCGAAAACAACAGGACTTCATATTGAGAAAAACATAGTCCTTGCAATGCCCCAACCAGCCAGAGGAGCAAATCAAAGAAGACAGGTCTCCTGGTATCAGGAGCTTTCTTACCCTTACGAAAACCTTTAAGAGCATGACGGGCCAGAAAGTGCTTTGTCAAGTCTCCCCCCCCCCATTTGATTTGAAGAGGAACGCCAATGCTGCTAGATTACGGTCAACAACCGACAGGGAGGCGCCTAGCGCAAACAACAGACACAGAAACCATAACAGAACATCTAAACGTACCTCCGCAGAGTGATTCTCATCAGTACAGCCCCACACAGCATCCCATGAGTTCCATACAGCTGCCCAAGTGCTTAGCGCCAATGAATTCCTGATCAATCCTCCAAGCATGAGGTCCCTAGATGCTACATTTCGACCGGGAAAGCTCGGAATCTCGCCAACTGGAAACGAGAAAGCGAATCAGTCATTATGTTCAAGAAGCCTGGCACATGACGTGCTCAAAAAACAATAATACATTGCATACAATGTAGGACAAATCGGCGTAGCAGCCGAACCACAGGGACTGAAGAGGGGTTTTAGTAACATTACATGATCGTATATTGCATTAATTCCCAAGTAAGTGGATTAATCTCATAAGAGCAAGCATTAGGCTGCTAGAGTAGGAACTGCTAAGAATGTGGTACATTGACGTTATGGCAGGCTTATGCAATATATGATCATATAATGTTATTAAACCCCCATTATTTTTTGCCTAGGTGAGGTGTTTTTCAATAAAACTATTACAATCTGTAAGATTTGAAATCATTGTTTAGTGAATAAGCGAGTGCGCTGGATTGTGTATTTTGTATATATAATATATATACACACACACTGCCTGGCCCCCCCAAAAAAGTCTCTGTAACGGAACCCCTGTACTCCGACCGAGTACCTTCCATTGATGGATGCTCCTAGTGCTTCCCGAGGACTCCAAGCACTCCGCCAGACACCATAACCACTGTAGACTCCCACGAACCGCCGCAGCTTGGTTGGGGTCTCGCCGTCTCCACCCACTCTGGACCAGCTTCCAGTAGGTCGACCTCTCCGAATTCCAGAGAGCAGGAACAGGAACAAGCTCTTAGCAGAGCTTAGTGATTATACCCTGGGGAGTATAGTGATTATAGCAATCCCCAGAGTGTAGTTCTCCAATCCCCCAAACATGAGCCGAAACTTCATGAAGGTACATGATGATCTCCTTTAATTGGCACCAAAGGACTTTCTTTTATGCAGGTTTTACACATACAGTTCCGCCCACAGGGTTTTGTAGAACAACCAATAAAACACGTACATTACAGTAAAACACTCCCAGCAATTACACACAAATCCTCCCCTCTGCCTGTGATATAATAACTGAACACAATGGGTTAAAGTAATTATCACAGGTAGGAAAAATGCATTTTTTACACATGTACTGTAACTTTAAAAATATGCATCATATTCACATAATATTCATATTACATATTCAGAATCAGCATACTTTAAATATAAACATAACCAAAAATCAGACAATTCCCTACATTAGTTCAAAAGTTAGGTGGAAGTCCTATATGACCGACACATTTTCATGCCCAAACAATTCCATAGATTTGGGCTGTGCGGTCGGTCAATTTCACACTGAAAAAATGACGAAGTCCCATTCGAACAGGCGTTTGAATTGCCGAACAAGACTTAGTCTCTGTGGCTGAAAACTGAGTGGAGGAGAAGGTAAGGGTCAGCGGTGTTCGTTGAAATGTGCAGCCAATTTCAGTTCCATTAATTTGGCTGCACACACTGCTGACCGCGTTCGAATGAACAAAGATGGCCGCCGCCACGTGTTCGTTTGTACGAACGTTGGCCACCCAGCAGTCGGTAATTTACCTACAGCAGGCTCCCAGCCTGGGAGGTAAATTGATGGCACACTTCGACTCCTGGGTGGTCCTCCTGTGTAGTAAATGGCTCGTTAAGCCCCAATTACCGAACCATAAGGGAAAATGCCATGTAAAAGTTATTTCCACAGTCTGGGGACTCTGGGGACATAGATTTAAAGGGCCATAGTTACAATTTTCATTATGTTCCAAAATGTGCTTAAAAGGGCTAGCACCAGTCCAATGAAAGTCCATAATCCCAACTACAGTTCTTAAAGGGCCAGAAACAACACAATAAAATACAATATGCCCAAATACCGTATTTGAAGTGGCAAAGGGCACTCCAGCCGACACCATAACCACCGTAGACTCCTTCAGAGAGCAAGACAGGAACAAGCTCTTACAAGAGCTCAGTGATTATAGCAAGGGAATATGCAGAGCATAGCAATCCCTTGTAGCAGATTCCCCCAATAAGAGACAGGACTCAGATTGAGGGTGAAGTAGAACTGAAGCTTTTAATCAAACACTCTTTTATGTACATTTTACACACATAGTACTGCCCACAAGGTTTTTGCAGAACAACCAATCAATACGTACAATACACTCAGACACTCCCACACAAAATCCTCCCCTCTGCCTGTGATATAATTACAGAACACAGTGGGCTAACTTAATTATCACAGGCAGGAAAATACACAGTTTTACACAATATTCATAACTTTAATTGTATACATCAGACAGGAAAATACACAGTTTTACACAATATTCATAACTTTAACTGTATACAGACCTTGAGCTGTGTAAGGGGCCCCCAAAAAATGGAGCTGCTTCCTGTTCATTGATTTTTGTTAGCACTGTTACAAACAGCCTCCAGAGAGCCTCTTCTACACCAGATCAGTGGGGCCAGACTGCAGCCTGAGCCCATCTTCATCCTCTTGTTCTCATTTGGTGGTAAGTAGGCAATCCAGTATATTATTAGTGGCACTAATCTCTAATTTACCTCACATTAAAGGGCAAGAAGAGTCAACAGAAGCACTGCAGCTTAATGTACTGGTTCTCGTGTCTATAGCCTGTGCCTGTAGGCTTTTTAATGTAAACACACTGTCTTTTCATATAAAAGACACTGTGTGCAGAACAAATAGTGTAGTGTGTAAATGGGTAATAGTTATTTTTCTAATTTACCATGGGGTAGCTGTATCTCTGTCCTCCCGGCAGCCTCCAGCAGCCCATACCAGCCTCATTCGTAGAAGCGCTCCGATTGGCAGTGGACTGCAAAGACATCCCCAGATGACATCAGAGGGCTAGCTCTAGTTTACAGCTCAATGAGAGTTCAATCACATCGAGAGGAAGGAGCAAGTCACAAGATCGACAGGTTAGCCCTCAATGGGGGCCTATCATAGCAAGATATTTCCTTCTAGCTAGAGCTTCACCCACCCCTATGTTTATTGAGCCATGAGAGGCAATATAACAATAAACAGTTTGGGTCATTGACAGTACAGTACAACCACTGCCTGTCTTGGATTAAACCAGAAGCTTGGGTTGGATCATTCTATGTCGTACACGGAGAGACTAGACAGTCAAGCATTTATGACTTGGCTGGGACAAGAAACAATAAAGGGGGGGCCGGGCCGGGCCGGGCCGCCGAGCTGAGCGGTCGCAGGACAAATCAGCTCCCGCTAAATATGACTTATTAAGCTTGGAAATCGTGCTTTTGGAATGATCCACAACTGCGACCCTCGATGTGCACGGGCTATCGGAGCTGAGGAGAGGCTTGCTCCCGGGATTTTAGTCCATCAGAGGAGAGGTCCCTGCGGCAACAGGCGAGACCTTACCTGGTGGTGAGTGGAGTGGACGGCCGTCGTACCACTATCCTGCCCAATGAAGCCTGACAAACACACGGACCATCCGCGGACCCGGTCCTGATTCCCCCTCCCTCTGGACCAGGGGGGTGATCCCGGTACTCGCACTAAAGCTGCACTCGGAGGCACCGCTGTGCCAACATGCAAGACCCAGGCCTAAATCTAAGATGGCGGAGGCCATGTGTGCAGACACTGATCCGCGGCGCCTGAAACGGACTACAGACACCATCTGGTCCGGCGCACAAAGCAACAAGCACCAAACGACACCCACCCCATGTAGCAGCTACCGAGTCCAGGGACATACCGGGTGCATGGCACCAGTAATCCAGCACGACGCACCACCCTCAAAGCATGCGCTGCAGACGAGACCGCTCGCCCATCATCTGAGCTGGGCGCCCACCGGGAGGAACTCCTCCACAGCCTGCCATACCCCCAGGGAGAAGTAAGGGATCCAGCGGAACCCTGGGCCCACGATCCTGCTGATGAGATCAATGGCGAACGGGCACGAGCACATACTAAGGCCTCAGGCCGAAGACAGGCGGTCCCAGGATGCAGTGCCGCCATCACCCCAGGAAGAAACAGCGCCTCGGTGACCTGGAGCAGGTCTCCAATCAGGCAGTAACACAAGCGGGATCCATCCCAAGGCACAACAGCATACCCTGCGGAGTGGACTGAGTACTTTTATGGACATTGATGGACATACCGGCTATTGCATAACGAACATAAGGACACATACCCAGGACTTGGGCCAAAAATCTTAAAAGACGCCAGTTGCACAATGGGGGAGAGGCAGGGGGGCTAACTAAACTTACCTAACTAATCTGTATGCACTAGACCATTCACCCTAGGGGGTTAATTGCTTCACAACACTATCGACCCCCCCTCCCCCCCCCCTCCCCCCGCTGTCTACTCTTTTGTTGCTTTGCTTAGACCATCTCACAGGCTAGCCATGAAAACTCCCTGGTTCGGCGGGCATGACCAGCACTCGCCTGGGCACGGTGTGCCTCCCCACATTAGCTACACCAATCTAGCTAGCAGCCTAGCACCATATAGTGAAGAGCATACTTACCTTAATATGTATACCTGGTGGGACTCGCAGATACACAGTTGAGTTATATCTATATTTAACATGTGATACGCAGGGCACCACGCTTAGCAACATAACATAATATACAAGCGACTTATAATCATCTAACTTGCTGCTACACCACATCTGGTATCTCTGCTTTTTTTAAACTCCTGTGCACAAGCATTAGACATGCAAGCTTTGCTTGTTCCCCACTTGCGTGGCCATATCACTCGACTTGTATTTACTCCTTATATACCAGCTTAAAGTTCTGAAACCACAGCTTAGCAAGTAACCTCACTATGTAATATGGCTTATGTACCATGCGTTGATATGCTCTAACCACCTGCTTTGCATTCTGTAGTGAAACCTGCATCACTATCTAAACATATAAATAGAGCCTGACCCATGTAGGTGTTATGGCACTGAATAAGACCTGTATACCATGCATTGATGCGCTCTTACCTCCTGTTTTGCATTCTGTATTGTCTTAATCTATGCCTCAATAAAAACAAAGATTGACACAAAAAAAAGAAACAATAAAGACTGCTGTCATGGAGTTGAACTGGACGCCACGTTGTCTTTAATCATTGTAACATGCGCATGCACAAGAGAAGGAGGATTGCGGCCGTTGTCTCAAAGATCTGATAAAATAGATCATACAGATAGTTTGGGCAGGATGCTGATGAGGAGGGGTAGACTGGACAAGCCAAGTGGGAAATTGCAATGGCAGGCTAGGAATGAGACCTTAATGAAGGTTAAAAGCTGATAGACCTGTGATGGCACAGGCTTCATTGCTGTCCAGACTGAGGGCAGGGTCTCGCGGTGGGTTCAAGGGATAACAGCGGCCTTAAGAAACTGGTCCACTATTATTTGTACAAGCGCTAACGGAATACTGACTACTTCCGGTGGTTGGGGCATGTTTTTTTTTTTAAATGTTTTATTTATTTGATTTTTTTTATTTGCTAACTCTTGCACACTGCAAAAATGTTAAGTAGGGTCAGTGCACCAGAACAGCAGACAACCGGTATTCATGGTATGGCTTGCAGGCTTTCGCCTCCTACAGAGTGCAATTCAACTGTGCTGTCTATAGCAGAGTCACTTTTAAATGTTGAGTGCCTTGATTTTCTTGTTTAATTTCCGTAGTTTTGTTTTCTCTCTATTTCTGTGATGAAATATGAAAATAGAAGTACCGTATGTGCCATGTTTATACTGATTTATTGTATAAGCACGCTGCCTTGAAAAATTAGGAATAAAAAAATAAAAGAATTATTAGTAAAATAAAGCAACTTTAAATTATATATATATATTTTAATTATTAAATTTTTTGTGCTCAATGTCTGCTTTTTGGTCATTGGCTATACTTTTTGGAGTGAATATTATATTTAATATCTAAAAATAATAGAAATGTGACAGATCTACCTATAACACCTATACATATACTTATTCAGTTTTTAAATTATTATTATTATTATAAATAATGAGGTCATCATAAAATTTAAGTTTCATCCTCAGTTACCTGCTCCCCCCCATCCCTGTCTCTAAGTCCTCACTGCTCCCCCCCATCCCTGTCTCTAAGTCCTCACTGCCTCAATTAGCAGATTCTACATTCAATTGATAAGCATCCACCAATCAGAGAGTACATCTACCACCTTCCAACCAATGAGATGCGCTCCATTCTGTTGTCAGCCAATAGGTAACCCTCTTTCATGGGCTCTGACCAATGAGCGCGCTGTTTCTGTGGCTGCGTCACCGCTGCTCTGATTTCAGTGAGTAGAAGCGCTATTCTGGAAGGTGAACTGTTGGCGGGAGTTACGCACACAGCGTAAGTTTTCGCAGCTGGCTGGAAGGAAGAGGCAGTCGGTGTGCGTGTTGCCGTGGCGCTTCCTACGCAGTTAGCGTATCGCGGCTGTGGTTGCTGTGGTGAGAGGCTGCACTCTGAGGCAGAGACAGATAGCGGTATGTGATCATGTCTGTCTGTATCTGTGTGTTCAGTCTGCCAGTGCTCAAACGTCCTGGTCTGGGAGGGCAGGAGGAGCGCTGACAGGGTAGGAGCGGGGTACAAGGGACATACTGAGCACTAGGATCCAGCCATCACATCCCCTGTGTGAGGAGCCACTGGCAGACCCACAATTACCCCCTGGGGGGCAGGAGGAGCGCTGACAGGGTAGGAGCGGGGTACAAGGGACATACTGAGCACTAGGATCCAGCCATCACATCCCCTGTGTGAGGGGCTACTGGCAGACCCACAACTACCCCCTGGGGGGGCAGGAGGAGCGCTGACAGGGTAGGAGCGGGGTACAAGGGACATACTGAGCACTAGGATCCAGCCATCACATCCCCTGTGTGAGGAGCCACTGGCAGACCCACAACTACCCCCCGGGGGGGGCAGGAGGAGCACTGACAGGGTAGGAGCGGGGTACAAGGGACATACTGAGCACTAGGATCCAGCCATCACATCCCCTGTGTGAGGAGCCACTGGCAGACCCACAACTACCCCCTGGGGGGGCAGGAGGAGCACTGACAGGGTAGGAGCGGGGTACAAGGGACATACTGAGCACTAGGATCCAGCCATCACATCCCCTGTGTGAGGGGCTACTGGCAGACCCACAACTACCCCCTGGGGGGGGCAGGAGGAGCACTGACAGGGTAGGAGCGGGGTACAAGGGACATACTGAGCACTAGGATCCAGCCATCACATCCCCTGTGTGAGGAGCCACTGGCAGACCCACAATTACCCCCTGGGGGGCAGGAGGAGCGCTGACAGGGTAGGAGCGGGGTACAAGGGACATACTGAGCACTAGGATCCAGCCATCACATCCCCTGTGTGAGGGGCTACTGGCAGACCCACAACTACCCCCTGGGGGGGCAGGAGGAGCGCTGACAGGGTAGGAGCGGGGTACAAGGGACATACTGAGCACTAGGATCCAGCCATCACATCCCCTGTGTGAGGAGCCACTGGCAGACCCACAACTACCCCCTGGGGGGGGCAGGAGGAGCACTGACAGGGTAGGAGCGGGGTACAAGGGACATACTGAGCACTAGGATCCAGCCATCACATCCCCTGTGTGAGGAGCCACTGGCAGACCCACAACTACCCCCTGGGGGGGCAGGAGGAGCACTGACAGGGTAGGAGCGGGGTACAAGGGACATACTGAGCACTAGGATCCAGCCATCACATCCCCTGTGTGAGGGGCTACTGGCAGACCCACAACTACCCCCTGGGGGGGGCAGGAGGAGCGCTGACAGGGTAGGAGCGGGGTACAAGGGACATACTGAGCACTAGGATCCAGCCATCACATCCCCTGTGTGAGGGGCTACTGGCAGACCTACAATTACCCCCTGGGGGGGCAGGAGGAGCGCTGACAGGGTAGGAGCGGGGTACAAGGGACATACTGAGCACTAGGATCCAGCCATCACATCCCCTGTGTGAGGGGCTACTGGCAGACCCACAACTACCCCCTGGGGGGGGCAGGAGGAGCACTGACAGGGTAGGAGCGGGGTACAAGGGACATACTGAGCACTAGGATCCAGCCATCACATCCCCTGTGTGAGGGGCTACTGGCAGACCCACAACTACCCCCTTGGGGAGGGGGGGTCAGAACAAGGTAAGCATTAGCCCTGGGGTCACTACAGGGGGTGCTGTACATGGGTTAGTACTGATGTATTATCAGTGGAGTAATATTGAAAGAGAGATCCTTAGGCAGTCCAGTTTTAAAACTCCCATGACTCCCTGCCAACCATTGACAGGCAGATTGTTATGGGATGTGCAGTCTTTAACCAGCTGGAGTGTCAAAGGTAAGCCACCACTTTATATTAAAGTGTTACTCCAACCATCATGACCACTTGTGCATTAAAGGGCCATTATAGTCTTCAGATCCACTACAGCTTAATGTAGTAGTTATGGTGTCTATAACCTGTTCCTGTAGGCTTTTTAATGTAAACACTGCCTTGTCAGAGAAAAGTGGTGGATCCTCACCGAAACCGAGTTCGCATCGGTTCGCACATATGCTCGGAGCCAGTGAGAAAGGTCCATTCAAATGCTTCTATTTAAGAATAATTTAATTGGAATGCGCAAGGAGGGCTGTGACATCAGACGAGGTGTGGAAAGGAGCACCGAGTGAAGCGTTGTCTGGTGCTGGATCCTTGGGAAGAGGATTCTAAATTGAATTCTTATCTTTTTATTTTTTTAATAAATGACTTGGAGTAATCCATTAATGTGCTCTTTTAGATGTGATGGGAGGAGTTTCTTTCTTTTAGCACAATTCTTTGATTTTCTCACTCTCCGATGCATTGTTTTGATTGTATTCTTATGTTTTTGTTTCTCAAAGTGTTTGTTAATTTTGGCGGGTCTATGTATATTTTGCACTTATCAGAAGCTGTCCCTCACAGCTGCTGCCATCTTATTCCGATGGACCGTCGTTTTCAGCTCCTGGTACTTCATCTGCCAGGAGTTACGCAAGAGTACAGCACTGAAATTTATGGAGAATCTGGTAACGCTGCAGGAGCCTCCATAGATCTCGTCTCACAATGAGCAAGATAATGTCTGATTCTCACAGCCATTGCATGCAACGACTGCTGGGATTTTACAAGAATTGACAGCAGAGGTAAACCGTTTGTCAATCTCAGGCTTGTCAATAAGACAAAGTAGACCCTACTTAGTCTTTTGACATCTTTGGATTGCATTGGACGTTTAATGAAATTCCAAATGGAGTCAGCATGAGAATATAATAAAATATATATCTTTATCAAATACTCAGTACGTTAACCATGTTATAAGGGATATCCATGTCGGGGCAGTTCCTGGGTTGGTATAGTTCTAGGGATGCACAGGAAAGGAGGGAGTCTCACCTTTTGGAATTTATTGTATTATGTATAGAGATGGTAAATTCTAATGACTAATAGGTATTTCTTGAGGTTTATCTGTAGAGCAATTTGTGACATGCTTAGTTCCAAATTGAAAATTTGTAGGGTGCTATTTGCCTAGTGTGCAGAGAATGTTTCAATATGTGTGTGCTAAATGCCAGATCACTTAACCCCTTAAGGACACATGACGGAAATATTCCGTCATTATTCACTTTTATTCCAGAAGTTGTTTAATCTTCATTAAGTAGTCTGGGTGCAGTGTCATTTTAGCTTTGGTCCTGCAATCTGAGACTTTGTTGTTTAGTAGATACAGCAATGTTTTGATTGCATGGCTAAACACACTCTAGTGACTGTGTTCCTGACAGCCACTAGAGGGTGCTTAACCTGCAACTATTGAATTTGAATTGGTTATGTGACTTCAATGTTGAATGTTTTCAAATGCTGATCCTAGGGAAGCACTGGATTCTCTATGAGAAGCATTTGACTTCATGAGCAAGGTGCTTGCCACACATTCTCTATGATGAGCACCAAATTTGACAAGAAGCCAAAGTAGCAACGCCTATTGGGCAATGTCACCAGACGCGGAGTTGGAAGCAGCATCGAATGGGTCTTGGTACTTGAAAAAGGGTCCCCTGAATCTAAATAGGGAGGAGTACTCTATAGCAGTACATATACATGTTTGTATACCTAATTCTGTAGTTTGTCTTTAAATGTCAGTGTATGTATCTGTTTGTGTGTGTGTGTGTAAATATAACCGTGTATGTATCCTTGTTTGTGTTATCTATGTGTGTATGTGCATGTAAAAATATAAATTTATGCATGTATGTATATGTTTCAAAGTGGGTATATGTTTGTTTGAGGTTTTATATTTATCTGATGATGTGTGTAGTCTTATTTTATATATCTGAAAACAGTGGGACCACGTCTTATGGTACACTCGCACTATGATTGTTGGGGACAGTTCCTTAGGGTCCCCAAAAGTCGGACCCCAGGGAACTAAGACGGGACATTACTCCCAAACTGGGACTATTGGGAGCCATGTACTTGTGCAGTTATGTAAATAAGCTTGTCTTGTGTTTGGTGTTATATAGTAAAGGAATACACCTGTCCACATTGCCCCTCTCTTTCCAGTGATAGCCTGATTCTTTAACCTGGAATTCCCGGACTGGGAGCCTCTGATAGGCTATGAGCATCTGATGACGCTCTCAGTCAATCATTGGCACCCCATTCACAAAACTGTGTCGTGCTGAGGGCAACAAAACTATTTTTGCCTAGGGAGGCAAGAATCCTTGCATCAACCCTGTGTGTAAAGTGCACTGATAGGCTCACCATTTTACTTGGACAGCTGTCAAACAGAGAGAGGGCTTTGTTTATTAGGAGCATCTATTTTAACACGCACTGAAAAGGACTGTCTCTCATTTCCCCGAGAGGAACTGTCTCTCAATTCCCTGAGTAACACTTACTGAGAGACACTGTCTTTCTTTCCCCTGTGGTAACTCTCACTGTGAGACAATTTAAAATTTTATTAAGACACGGAGGCGAGTATTATGCACTCTTTTTCTTTATTTTCCCTCAGCAGCAAAGAATTTTTTTTCTGAACATAACCAGTAGTAACCGTAAACAGTCTGAGGTGAGTATCCTCTTAGCAACAGGAACAGACAATCAGGTTCCTCTCTCCAGCATGATAGACTCTGTCAACCAATCCAATTCCTCTTTATTTGCTGCTCCCTCAGTTAAGTAACATCAGATCACACGGTTTCTTAACTGTGGGATCGTTTTTCTTTTACATGTTATATTACTGTGATTTTCAGTTTTAGTGTTATTTAATACTATTATATTATCTAAATTAGTTAACTATCATTGGGAATATTTTTCCTATTTAATTATGTGCTTACATATCTGCCTGTTTTAACATGTTTATATATATATATATATATATATATATATATATATATATATATATATATACTTCTTATTATTGTATTTGCTCTTTTTGGTTCCCTTGACCCCCTGAGACCAGTACGATTAACTGAGCTCAGGGACGTCTGCATGAACCGCTGATACCTGTCACGGTGCTTTCGCACCTTTTTTCCTACCCGTTATCCATCCGACCGCCATCTTGCTGTAGTCGAGCGCACGCGCTTTCCTCAGTGCACCCATTCGTCTGTTTCTATACTTAGGTTTAGATACCCTCATTCGGGTGTTTTTTGCGCGAACGCTCTGGGAACCTTGCGTTCCCTTACACGAACCCCTCATTCGGCAGTTTAGTTGGATAATTCAGTGAATGCATTGGCACCTTAGCAAGGGGTTCATCTACACGAATGCTCCATTCCCTTTCTGGAATTTTGCCGCTCGCGGCAGCCATTTTTATTGCCTTTCCCGCGTCCTGAAGCTAGCACTGCCCCCCACAGACCGGTACTCGGAGTTGGGGGTTAGTGCTAGTGGCGGTCGGATGGCTCTCTGTTTCTTCTATCATTAATGATTATCTGTGAGTAATAATAATAGTAATATTAATATTAAATTTTGTTCTATACTTTGGGTTACTCAACCCTCCTCCACAGGTTTTGTTCCCCACAGGTTTTTTTTTGTTCTCTTATTACTAGGACATAATCCTGTCAGTCATTAGCATACTTGTTATGCCTTCTGACAAAGATGCTCCCACACCCTCTGGGTGGTTTTAAGTGGTTTTAAGTGGTTTTAAGGCACCTTCAGGTGTGTCTGATAATGCAGCGGGTTCCCCTGCTGAGCCTGATACTTCTGCTGATATGCAGACCCTGATAGATAACACTATGTCACAGGCTATGACTAAAGCCCTTATGTCAGCCATGGGACTAATGTCTGACTCGATATCACAGACGTTTACGCATGCCCTGATTCAGGCACAAAAATCAGCTCAACCGACTCTTGCCCAGGTCTTGCCTGTCACGACCCCTATGCAACCTCAGGCTGGCCGCAAGGCCTTGGCAAAGGTAAAACATTCCTCAGTGTCATAGATGGACAGCCATACACCTGTCACAGATGGCGAGACTACTATGCCACCACGCAAAAGAGCCACTAGCCGGGCAAAATCGGCTAGATTATGGAAAAGGGCAAAAGCCCAAGTAGATTCTGAGTCGGATCTCAGCGATATTGAAGAGGAGGCCTATATGGAATCGGAAGATCTGTCGGATCCCGAATCAGATAGCCTGGTCGAAGAATACGACCACTCTCGAGACTGTAATCCGCTTCAGTCGGATATACATATTGTGGAGCATAAGGCCCAAGGGGACACGGATAAGATTTTGGACCACCATGGGGATCCTCTATTTGACCCCGAGGAACTACGACACCCATGGTCGGCGGAGTGGTCCCCCTCGGAACATGTGGCCAGGTATGTAGCGTCAAGAGTACGCAAGCCTTTAGATAAGGCGACACGGAATAAACTATGGGCAGAATGCCCACGCCCCACTGTTCCAGATGATGCCTGCAGAACACCTGCAGTTGACCCAAAAATTACCCAATTCTTGGGAAAGACAGGCTGGAAACCTAATAAAGGCCTAGACTTTTCCCTGCGCAACTGCCAGGATAAAGTCTTAGACATCTTGGGCCCAGCAACCAAGATACTTGAAGTGGTCCAAGACGACCAAGAGCTAGATCGTGCCACTATAAATGGATGGATCCAACGGGTTATTTGCTTGATTGGAAATGCCAACACGGCAATGGCCACAAAGCGCCGCAAGGCAATATTGTTAAAAATAGAACCGAAACTGGTTAATATGGCTCTGAATGAGCCGGGACGCCGGAGACAATTTTGTCAAGGAGTTAGGCTCCTTCGTACACACATTTACTGCCCTAGACAAAGCGAAATCAAACATGCGCAAGGTGTTTCACCCCAAGGTTTTTGGTGGGGCCGGAAGAGCAAGGAGCCGTCTGTCCTGCCGTGTTAACAGGAGTTCATTTAGACAGAACCGAGGCTCCTATACAGGATGAGCTAGTTTCACAGAACACCGCAACACTCCGGCGTTCTTTCCACAACGTGGGCGACCATGGGTTGCTCGTGGACCATGAAACGCTCACTCAGGATGGCGACCTTATGTTAAGTCCTCTCGATTTTCAATCTTCCCTATGGGCAGTGGGGGGCAGACTCCGACATTTTTTCCATACTTGGTCCCACATTTCATCAGATGCCTGGGTATTAAACACTGTAAAAGGGTATACCATAGATTTCCTGTCCCTACCAGTACATTACTCCCCACCGTGGGAAATGTCTTTTTCCCTACAAGATAAAATCCTTGTCACCAATGAAGTTTTGGATTTGAAACGCAAACATGCCATCTCAGAAATTCTATGGCCACACCAGGCTATGTGAGCAACCTGTTCCTGGTTGCCAAGAAAGGCGGAGGCGTCCGCCCAGTGATCAATTTGAAACAACTCAACACTTACGTCTCCTACAACCACTTCAAGATGGAAGGAATACATTGCCTAAGAGATCTTCTCCAACCATCAGACTGGATGGTGAAGTTAGATCTAAAAGACGCTTATCTTACAGTGCCGATTACCCCGCAACACCAAGACTTCCTGCAATTCATATGGCAAGGAAGGAAGTGGAGATTCACGTGCATTTCGGACTATCCTCAACCCCGTGGTGCTTCAAACTCATGAAGCCTGTTTTAGCTCTATTGCGGAGTCGAGGAGTACGTCTCATAATTTACCTGGACGATATCCTCATCATGGGTCAGTCCACCCAACTTGCCAAGACCCATCTGAACTGGACTCAGACTCTATTACAGATATTAGGCTTCCTCATCAATTGGGAAAAATCCATTTTGGCTCCCACACAACATATAGAGTTCTTGGGTCTAACCGTGGACTCCACGTTTCAGACCCTACATCTACCAATGACGAAACTGAACAATATAAAAAAGGAAATCAAACGCCCTCTGGCGACTCCCCAGCTTACCCTCAAACAGTTGGCGAGAGTGACTGGTCTCCTGGCGGCTTCCATACAAGCCATCTTTCCGGGCCCTCTCCATTACCGAGCATTACAACGTCTACAAGCTTCCCTTTTGAGAGACGGGGTCTCCTACACAGATATGATCACTCTGTACTCGGAAGCGAAAGACGAACTGACATGGTGGCTTTCCCATATGGAAGCCTGGAATGGCCTCGCCATTTTTGGCACCACACCAGATATTGTAATAGAATCTGACGCGAGTTTGCACGGTTGGGGTGCTCGCTGTGGAGACAAATCTACAGGTGGCAGATGGTCCGACAGCGAATCTACACTCCACATCACACATCAATTGCCTGGAACTCCTGGCAGGATCCTTTGCGATCTGCAGCTTCTCACCAACTCAAGCTCAATGCTCTATCCTTCTGAAGATGGACAATATATCGGCAGTCCGATATATCAACCATCTAGGGGGCACGAAATCGAAGGTCCTGGCAAACATGGCACGAGATTTTTGGCAGTTCTGCCTGATTCAGGGCATTTCTGTCACAGTGGAATATATTCCGAGGCTCTGCAACACCACGGCAGATTGGTACTCACGACACCTCTGGGATCCCAGCGATTGGCAACTGGATCCCAGGGTCTTCCGAGATATCCAGTCGTTATGGGGCCCCATGGACAAAGATCTTTTTGCCTCCCGCTTGAATACTCAACTTCCCAGATTTTTCAGCTGGAGATCAGACCCAGCAGCACTGGCAACAGATGCGTTCACCCAAGATTGGTCGTCCACAAGGAATTATGCCTTTCCACCGTTCGCACTGATTCCCTACTGCAGTTACGACGTCAGACGGGAACCTTGGTGTTTGTGGCACCGTTATGGCCCTCCCAACCATGGTTCCCCCCCCCCACACTTAGAAATGACGATAGACATACCTCGCATTCTCCTGCACTTCGTGTACCTGCTTCAGGACCCGGATGGATCTCCTCACCCCCTGGTACAACAAGGCCTACTGCATCTATCAGTGTGGCTAATTTCAGGGGAACTTGGGCAATCGAGGGAGTTTCGGAATCAACTCTCCACCTTCTCGAGAGCGCAGGGGCGTCCGGCACGAGACAGGCTTATGAGTCTTCATGGAGCAGATGGCGTGATTGGTGCCTGGTACGAGATTTGGATCCCATATCAGCTCCTTTGACTGGAATCCTCTAATTCTAAACTTCATTGTTTGAGGACGGCAAATCCTATCGTACAGTGAACCTGTACCGATCGGCCATTTCGTCTTCACACCAAAGGATAGATGAAGCCCCGATAGGACGCCACCCGCTGATATGTAGACTCCTACGTGGCATCAAATTTGCACGTCCCCCACTACCACGATACTCGGTATTATGGGACGTGTCCATCATCCTCAATTTCCTCCAATCATGGCCAGACAACGCATTCCTATCCCTGAAACAACTGTCGGCCAAGCTGGCTATACTCCTCTGCCTCATATCCTGCAAGAGAGTCTCCGATGTCAGAGCCCTGGACATTACCGCACGCTCCTACATCCCAGAAGGGGTTACTTTCGATATATCTCGCAGAACGAAGACATCATCAAAGAAAGTGTCATACCCAGCATTCCCTGACAGGCCGCTTTTATGCCCGGTCAAATGCTTACAAACTTATGAACTTCGCACCTCCACACTACGAGACATGACGAAACACGAACTCTTCGTGTCCTTCCAAAAAACACACCTACCAGTGTCTACTCCTACTCTAGCTCGATGGGTTAAATGGATTATGTCCCTAGCGGGCATTGACACCTCATTATTCTCACCTCACTCAATACGAGGAGCGATGGCTTCCAGGGCCTCCTCGATTGGTTGTCGTCTTGAAGACATTTTGAAGGCGGCCGATTGGTCCTCAGAATCTACCTTTTGTGACTTTTACTTTAAACCCATTCTACACTTCGCGGGAACGGTAATCTCCCAGCTTTAAACCAGCATAATAGGAGACTTCGTGTCTTAATAAAATTCAGATTTTGCTATTATCATGACGTGAAGTCATGATTTTATTAACGACACGGAGGCGAGTATTATCCCTCCCTCCCATCCCATGGAAGGATGGAATTTGATTTCACGGTAAGTCCTAGTAGTCATGGAATTTCTGGAGGTTACGCTTGTCAATACTTCACTTAACCACAATGGCTTAGGGGAATTAAAATGTTATTATGACAATTCCGATTTATGCGTACACCCAGTTTGGTACTAGGATATTACAATATTTCTCCTTGTCTTACAGCCTTACCTACTCCAGATCGTTGGGGATACCTCTTGTTACACGGTCCCTTTTTCTTTCGGTTGGATGATTATACTGCTTCAGGATCGCAAATAAAGAGGAATTGGATTGGTTGACAGATCCTATCATGCTGGAGAACGGAATCCGATTGGCTGTTCCTGTTGCTAAGAGGATACTCACCTTAGACTGTTTACTGTTACTACTGGTTACTACTGGTTATGTTCGAAAACAAAATTCTTTGCTGCTGAGGGAAAATAAAGAAAGAGTGCATAATACTCGCCTCCGTGTCGTTAATAAAATCATGACTTCACGTCATGTTAATAGTAAAATCTGTGAATTAAAGGACCACTCTAGGCACCCAGACCACTTCAGCTTAATGAAGTGGTCTGGGTGCCTGGTCCAGCTAGGCTTAACCCATTTTTTCATAAACATAGCAGTTTCAGAGAAACTGCTATGTTTATGAATGGGTTAAGCCTTCCCTTATTATGAATGCTTTCCTATGTGACCGGATGAATGCGCGCACGGGAAGGAGAAGATGAGGATCAGAGGAGGAGAGCTCTCCGCCCAGCGCTGGAAAAAGGTAAGTTTTAACCCCTTTCCAGAGCCGGGCGTGAGGGGGTCCCTGAGGGTGGGGGCACCCTCAGGGCACTATAGTGCCAGGAAAACGAGTATGTTTTCCTGGCACTATAGTGGTCCTTTTAAAGGTCACTACAACAGAACTGGAACAATTCTCTAATCCAACTATGTTTCCAGCTCTACTACTTTGGCCCTAAATTTGAAATGTACATGGAATTCTTACTTTTAGTGAGTAACCTAGAATGCCTTCATTCCCCTGTGGTAACTAACTGAGAGGGAGTGCCTTTCATTCCACTGTAGTAACACTCATTGCAAGGGACTACCAATCATTTCTCTGTTGTGGCAACAACCAACTTGGGCAATCTCTCCTTTCTCTGTAGCAACACTCACTAACTAACAAGTGTCTACTACTAATCTCTCTTTTGTGATTGATACTCTTCTCTCTCTGAACAAAGTTGAAAACATATCTACTCGTACTTGAAACTCTATAATTTGTTTGAGCCGTTGCTGCAGTGATATGTCTTTTTATAGGGGCTTGTGTATGTATTTTATTCTTATAAATTCGTATTGGTTTCGATTGGAATTTAAGCAAGGGGAAGCTGTGCTTATTAACTGTACCTTCTTCTAAAAATATTTCTCTGATTCATTATTGAGGCTAATATTATATACAGGTAATGTTACTCCTGACATACTTAGTCACTCCTCTAGAGTAACTGGGGCATAACTCAATCAGGAAGTAGTGTCACTCTATACTATTTTGATGTCAGTCACACACATGAATTTGGACCTAGTCATTTCTCCTGACTCACTTTTGACATCAAATCATACATACGCTTGATGAGTTTCAGTGCCAAAACAGTTCATTTCCACCTCCATCTATGACTCGCTAAAAACCTAGATTATTTGACAGTTAGTGTTCATTACATTTCTTGTAATTCTAAATTTACATTTTGTTTTTCTTTCTTTAAAACTTATTGTTAGATTTTACTTTTATATGAACATCAGCACAAAATAAATACTGTTTTAATTCATGAGGTGCTTCATAAATCTTTAAAAAAACAAACATGTTGCTGAAGGGGTTAAAATCCCTTCAGTGATTTACCTGAATCCAGCGCTGATGTCCTTTGGCGCTGGGTCAGGCTCCGCCCATGCTCCTCTCCCGCCGGGGGAGACCTAATGTGCATGCGCGGTAATGGCCGTGCGCGCATTAGACCTCCCCATAGGAAAGCATTATTCCGTGATTTCCTATGGGAATTCCGGCGACGCTGGAGGTCCTCATGCATAGCATAAGGACGTCCAGCGTTGTTTAAAACACGTTTTGTATTCTAAGAACACGGAAGTCCCCACAAAAGGAGGACTTAACCCTGCAAGTTAATTATTGCAGTTTTTATACACTTGCAGCATTAAGGGTGGTGGGAGTTGGCACCCAGACCACTCCAATGGGCAGAAGTGGTCTGGGTGCCTGGAGTGATCCTTTAAGGCATGGTGTAGTCTGAAGGTCAGACATTCACAGTAAGCCAGTGAACCTGCTTACTCAAGCCAACATCAGGTTAGTAGTTAAGTTCATGCTATTTAAAGGACCCCTATAGTGCCAGGAAAACAAACTCGTTTTCCTGGCACTATAGTGCCCTGAGGGTGCCCCCACTCTCATGGCCCCCCTCCCGCCGGGCTGAAGGGGGAGGAAGGGGTTAAAATTTTACCTTTACTTGCTGATTAACAGGAAGTAAAAAGTTCAATGGCAAATAGTTCCAGCAAATGCATAGCGTATGCACTTATTTTTTTTTTTTTTAAGCGTATGAAATTTAAAGTGTCACTGTCATGATCTGGGGGCTATGGTGAATTCGCAAACACCCCCACGGTGACATCGGTGCTGGAGGTCATGTTAACAGGGTGGGGAGCATAGGGGTGCGCACAGGGTGTGCCTGGGCACACCCTAATCCCCGCGGCACGCCTATGTATTGAGACCGGCAGGGGAGATCTCAGGAGATCTCAGCTTGGATAGCGCCGGCTCTACTCCCTCCCCAGCGACCCGCAGGGAGGGAGGCAGGAGAGGACCCGGGGAGCTATTGCCGGCAGCTCCGCCGGGTTCCTCTCGCGAGATCTGAGCGTTGCCGCGGCCAATTTCGTACAGCGGTCACTGGTGATGGCTGTCTGGATTGTCTTTATAGCTTCATCCATAGTCTAAGAAAGCCACACAGAGAAATTATACAAAGACAAAGTAGTCCCTGTCTATCTCCTGAATGGGCTGGAAATTCAGGTAATTTTAACACTGTCAAAATAAGTATTTCATAAAGATTCTATCTTTATGAAATACCATATTTTTTTAGGATGGCAGGTGGGGGGGCAAATGAAAGCACATCTGTGAAATATGCTATAAGTGGCTTCCCTCAATGTCACAAACCTACAAAATGTAAATCGTAAGCTTTGGTTTTTTTCTAGGACGAGGATATCGGCAGGAATACAGGGCGAAGGGAGTGTTGGGGTAAACAAAATGAGTTGAAAATCCAGATATGCGAGATGTTTTACTAAGTTAACCTTGGGTAGATTATCTTTTAATCTTGGATGGGGAATCTCTGGTACAATAGGATGGCCATGGTATTTGTAGACAAAATAGACGATTGCTGTAATCTCAGTCTTGTCCTTGACACCGTGTATAAACAGATTTAACACCACCTTGCATTCTTTGTTTCTACGCTTTCCGTTTCTAAATAAATTGGGTGGCTTTGGCCAATATCATCTGCCAGGTTTAGGAAGATGGCCAGCTAAGGTTGCTGCGGGCTCAGATGGTCATCGCAGTGGATGCAAGCAGATGCACGCAGTCATCCTGCCAATTAATGCGGGCAATTGCATTTGGCATTGTCAAGCATAGTTACATGCTTTGGGCATCTTTTAGTTTGGAGCAGCAGCAAAAATAGGACTATATAAATAAAATGTATGCAATGTGACTATCACAATGCAGCGATACCATTACATTCTTCATGTACAGGGTCAGTGAGAATTCAAAGTGAGTTTGAAGTTTAAGGCCAGAGTAGTCAAAGTGAATTTTTCAAGTGTGGATGTTAAAATTTGAAAGTCACTTTGCATTTTTACTTGAGTTAACGCTGATAGTATTATGATGCAATTTTTGCAATCCTCAATGTAACCGTAAACACAGGCAGCAACTATTTATTTTTAATAGGAATCTAACAGACACTCGGTAGGGAGATTTTCTGTGATCCCTGGATTTCTTTGGGATCATTATAGTCTTTTATGGTGCATTGTTCTTATTATGGCCTCAGGCATCCCTATTTATGAATACAAAAATACATTTTGCCTAGTAATGAAAATTGGTGGACAGCAGGAATGCAAACTAATAAATCGCTTATTATTTTTATGTTTTAGGAAATCAAATACAGTAGTTCCCAGGCTCATTTATATAATGAAATACAGTAGTTCCCAGGCTCATGTATTTAAGGACACATTTACCAATTTTTGTAATGAAAAAGAGCGTACAATTGTGTGGGCAAGCACCTTTGTAAGAAACCTACAGAAAAAGAAACAATTACCTCTCACCGAACCCATGTGGTATAGTAAAAGGATCCTCATAGAAATGAGGAACACCAAATAGAGAAGTTACCAAAAGCCAGAGCATTCCATAAACAGTCCGTATTCAGTTCTGTATCATCCAAGCAGAAGTTGAAAGACTCCATGTTTTAGGTACCTGTTTTTTGTCAAGTCACATGACAGATGTTTGATACAAAGCAAAGTACAGTGCTAAAACTCAAATGACCTGTTATGGTGCTTAGATATTAGGGATCGACCAATATTTTCTTTTATTTTTTTTTAGAGCCGATACCGATAATCTGTGAACTTTCAGGCCGATGGGCGATAACTTATCGATACCGATATTCTGTACATTTACCATGTAAAAAAAATTAAACTATTTCTACACAAATCTACTGTTAACTGAACATGTTTATTATTTATTTGCATTTTTTTTTTTTTAATTAAGGTAAATGCACAAAATATATGCCAGTCAGAATTTTTTACGTTTTCAAGAATATATATGTGTGTGTAGTGGATGCAGTGGGAGTATTTGATTAGTGAATGCAGTGTGTGTGTTTGTGTAGTGGATGCAGAGTGTATTTCTGTATTGTGTATATAATGAATGCAGTGTGTATATTGAATGCACTGTGTTTTTTGTTGTAGTGTGTGTATATAATGAATGCGTAGTGTGTGTTTGTGTAGTGGTTTTGTGTAGGTATGTTAAGTGTGTAAAATAGGGCGTGGGGGTCATTAAAATTTTTTGAACTTTTACATTTTGTTTTAGTCCTTCCTTTCTGCTTCTTACCTGGCCAGGGAGGGAGATATGGCATTCCCTGGGGGGACCAGCACACTCTTACTTACCTTCCCAGCAGCTCCCTTCAGCTCCTCTTTCTAACTCTCGCGGCCTGTGTGCTGCGCGGAGCGTTGCCATGGTAACCCGTGGCAGCTCTCTGACGGCCGTGGGACTCCCAAGAGTTACACAGGGGAGCTGAAGGGAGCTGCTGGGAAGGTAAGTAAGAGTGTGCTGGGCCCCCCAGGACCATGATGGCGGCCCTGGTCTGCATTATCGGCAATATCGGTATTTTTATTTACCGATATTGCTGAAAATACAGAATATCAGCCAGACCGATAATCGGTTGATCCCTATTAGATATACCCTTTAAAGGAGCACTCCCTGAATTTTTCCCCCACCATTGCTTTTCACTAAGCTATATTGAGATGGGTGGACTTCAGCTGAGCTCAAGCATAGCGCACCTGCCACTTCCGTTAGATCTGTGGAGCTAACGGAAGTGGGAAAAAATATTCTGGCTGTCAGAAGTGTTTCTGCCACCAGTAATAAAAAAGCGATTTCTATTGAAATCAGAACTTTTAGAAACTGTTAGAAAATGTCAGAATCCAGACACACTAATGACTTAAGCCAGCTGAAGTGTGTTTATATAAGTATCCCAACACTTTTTTTTTTTAAATACATTTTATGTTCATATAGATTCACAGTTCTATCTCCTATTTGATCCTCTTATGTTGATAAAGGAACTATACATTGTAGTCCATTTATAAATTTGTAAATAATTTCTTTACAAAGAGCCCAAACACTACATATCTGCGTTACTGTTCAGTTTACCACATAAGCTTTTATTTTCACTAAAATGGGAGAAACCTCTATATTCTATTTCTGAACCATGTAAATGCGTAAGATTATCAATGCTTTCATTACCATTTTGATCTACGTGTATATTGCAAACCGCCAACGTTTATTTTTAGTACGATATGTCATAACCCCGTGTGTTTGTTTACTCTCTTAATGACAGATTTTGCATGAAATTTCTTTCATAGTAAAAGTCTTATCTTTGTTTGTGAACAGGAAAAGATGCAAACAATTCCACATTTACGTAAAATTTCTAATCCGCATCTTTATCCACGTAGCTGTTAAAAGCTTTGCAATTATGCATGATTGAGTTATTCCAAACTGTACAATGTGTATACAGTAATTAGAAACACAGGTAGAGAGAATGCAGAGCCGTTTCATATCTTTATAGGGCAAAGGGAGGCAACAGAGGGTGGTGAATTTGTGATTATTGGATTCGGTCACAGCATAAGTTTAGGGTTGCACCTAGAGTAATTGTAGACTAGAATTCAGTTCTTGGGAGGGGGGGGAGAGTTCACTAAGAAATTGTCTTTACTGGAAAACACGGGTTCCAGAGGACATATCTACTTGGTGTTGATGCCAGTCAAAGTTAAGACCTTTTTGGAAATTATTATGTACATAGATACATTGCCTTGAGAAAGAGTGATTGAATTCGATCTCTTGGCAGAGGGAAGAATACATTTGATACCCACAACAATTGCATAACATTTGCATCCATTGCCTGGAAAGCCTACCCGCTGATCGGAACCTTTTTTTTTTTTTTTCTGCCAAGTGTATATTTCTGTATTTGACCTTTCTCTATAGGGCTCTGCCGTTAATATTTTCTTTTTATGTGTAATGTATTTTTTTTTTTCTATTTAACATTATTTTCTTTCTGCTCTGGTCTTTGTTTTGATTCATTTTTTTGCATTTTTTTGTTTTTTTATTTTTCTGCATTCATTGTTCTTTTAATAATATGCCCTTGCTTACTTTGTATGGGTCACCCAAACATTAAAAACATCAAGTCATTAGTATCACCTACTCATTTAAAAGTGCATAGGATAAAAAAAAAAAACCACAACAACAATTGAGACTTTGCTTTTTTTAATTTATTTTTTAACTTAAAAACATTCTAAAAGGTTTGCAGGTGTACAAAGCTTTTTTTTGCATTGTAGTGGTAGATTTGGGTGTTGATTGTAATGATAGATTTGGATTTTTAGAGACGTCGGTCAGGCCCTGACGCACTATTTGGTACTATCCCCACCTACCATTACATTTGCTCATTCTTACAAGAGGAGGCTTTGTTTGTTCCTACATGCAAGGCAATTATGAGCACGGTCATATTCTGGCAGCACTTCATAAAGCTGAAGATTAAAAAAGATTTGGTGAGTAATAATTTAAAGCAAAGAGGGCCCCTCTTCTTAGGCCTTTACCTGCCCTTCCCTGAAACATATAACCTTATGAGTGCGAGAGGACTGATATGCATTTACTGTCAGAGGTATGAGACTAAACTAAGCCACCATTTATTTTTCCCATGCTTAAATCTAACTCTGTTTAATCCAAGATAATGGCTTTTGACATTCCCTGCCCCCTTACAACGTATTCTGCCTCTGGCAGGTGCAATCCCATCTCGTTCCATCTGTAATATTTTGCTAATTATACAATATGGGGGGGTGGGGAGAGGGGTTGGCGGATAACCCATGGGGCAGTCTGAGGCTTGGTTTGTTGTTTTGGGTCTAGATGTACATTGCCTGACAGTCATCCACATGGACACTGAAACAAAACACTAATTAATACATAGCTAATTAATAATTAATGACTTCTTCAGGATGTCATGCTGTTCACACAGAGCAGTTTTTCCTTAACCATTTTTGACAGGGGTTTCATTTAAGCAAATGGCATTAGCCTGGCAACCCATTCTTCAGTACGGAAGAGTACGTTCTACCAAAAACCTCCTTTAGACTCCTCCTATGTTAGTGACAAATCCATTGCGATGGGGAACAGGCATTACTGCTACAGTAAGCAATCTATTGTGGAAAGTTGCCTGGGGTCTGATATATAGGATGTGTCTGTTCTAACCTATAGAAACCTTCTGAGTCTCGGATCTCGACCTAAGGGTTACAAACGACTGACCCAAACACACTGCTCTGTATGTACTTCCAGACAGCTCTGCATGATCACGTTTGCAGACACACATGGCTCTGCAGGATACAGAGTACAAATAGAAACAGCTGTATTTGTTTGTTTAGGAAGATGTACCATTGTCTGTAATGCTATACACAGAGATATGTCCTTCTGCCTAGATATTTATACAAATACATATTGTTCTGTTTTGTTCTTGACAATCTGAATTATCCTTGTGCCTTCCACAGCCTGAAAACAAACTGATCAGTGTTCACGCATCGCTTCTAGTTTGGGGAAAACAAAGCTTTTGTATTTTTTTTAATTTTTTTTAACTAAATATTAAATTTATAAAAATAATAATATATAATTCATTATATAAGAGAGACCTGTACCTGTCGTGGTCTGAATTCATTCCATTTCATGTCATTTTTTTTTTCTCTTTGGCAGTGACTTCTTATTTGAATGCGCCTCATTCAGGTTTGTTTAAATAAAAAGACTGCGCGGTACCGGGAGTACAAACATAAAACGAAGCACAAGACTGTAAATCTCCTGCTTTAAATTCTGTAAAGTATATTTGATTTGAACGTTGCAGAAATTATAGTGTTTGTACTGAGGGATCAACCGATATTTGCATGAGTCTTAATCCAGTAAATTGTTTTTCGGCACTAAAATGCTTTTTGGAGTTATTTAGCAAAGTATTTATAAGCTAGCTTTTTTCAGACATCCAAATGCAGATAAATGGTTAATGTTCATAGAGTGGAGATAGGGGCAGCAGTGTTTTGCATAAGCTCATAATGATGCATATAATTTCAGGATAAAACTAACACGGGCTGTTTAAAACTGTTAGATTGCTGTATATAGAAACAGACATGTATTGGATCAGAATTGATATTTCTTTTGCTGTTTTTATTTCCTGCCTCTAGACAGTGATGTTTTTGTTTCTGTTGCAGTTCTGGATAATGATGAGGCTGCTGCTGCTGCTGAAGATAAACGTTAGAGAAGAGTATTGGAATCAGTGAGCAGTCCTTGCCTCCCCCTACACCTCCTACTAAGTCGGTAGAGGAGGAGCCTGTAGCAGCCCAGTGCTGAGTTCAGATTCCTGTTGCTTGCTAGCTTAGCATTCACTGCCTTACAAGAGAGAGGCATACAGCTTCCTCTCTACAGTCTGCTTGTCCTATCACTCCGCAGACTGGCTGCAATCACATAAAGAAACCTTGTATAGACTTTGTGTCCTCTTCTTGGTAACACTGAAGGGAAAAGGCCTGTGTCCCTCACAGAGAGGGAAAAGGCAGAAGAAACAAGTTTTGTGGACCCCATCTCTGCTGGTTTGGAGCTTGCGGGTCCACTCCTTCTACCACTGGAGATGCTCCAAAGATTCTTCACCTCAGTAAAATCGTGGGACATCCATTCCCGAGGGAGGACCGGCCACCCAAGACACAGATACTTAGAAGTTGACGGAAGATAAAGGAAAAACATACGTTTAGAGACAGACTTTTCTTCAACCAAGGAAATAAATTTCTTCTTATTCCAACCCCCTAACCTTTTACCAACCATCTGCTTTCCCTTAAGCCATCGCCTTTAAAAATATTTACCCTTGTGTTCACTCATGGCTTTCCTGACGAAGAAGAAAAAATTTAAGTTCCAAACCAGTTTTACCCTGGAAGAACTGACTGCTGTCCCCTTTGTGAACGGGGTTCTCTTCTGTAAAGTCAGGTTGCTCGATGGAGGGGACTTTGTCAACTTGTCATCTAGGTAAGTAAAAGGGACCAGGGGATGTTGCATTGTTAGGCAATCTTTTTTATGAAGCAAAGTTCTAAAACTGACGTAGTCACCATGGAAACCAATAGAATGTTCCTCCTGTTTGCTACAGTTTTGGAAGTTTATTTTAGAATGTCTGTTTATCTGTAACCCCCAATGTTCGCTAGAAACTGCATTTAGCTATGTCTATATACTGTAGTCACTTGTTTGGGAAATTTAATATGAATTGTTCCAAAAAGGAACTTTGGTACATCTGCTAATTGGCTTAAAATCTGCATTATATGTATGTACTTGCCCTTTGTTTATCTCTAATTGTTTAAAGTAACAGGGTATCTTTTAAAAACACAACAACAAAAAGAGGAAGTTAAGTGTAACATACAAGTCGTGCTATGTGTAATTCATGCAGGTAAGGCTTTTGCTGACAGAGGAATTGGCTGCAATGCATTGATAACATCTGGATTTTTAGAACGTTAAAGCTTGCGCTGTTCACACACCCAGCAATATACGATTCAGTGCCAAGCCCACTCAGCTCTGGTGTACACCCAATAGTGAAACAGGTTAAAAAGAAAACATGCATTTGAAAAAATACATTGTGCAGGAATGCTTTGGGCTTGGGAAGCCCAAAATGTAGACCCCCGAATGTTGTAGAACTACAGCTCCCATGATGCTTTGCATGCCTTTAGAATGACAAAGCATTGTAGAAGCTATAGTTTTCAAACCTCTGGGGATCTACCTTTTGGGCGCTGATTTTATTTTATTTTTATTTTATTTTTTTAGTGCTTACCTCACATATTAAAGTGGTGTTGTTTATTAGACCATACTCGGTATACTTTGTAAACCAGGCGCAAGTATAATTACATTTATAATGTTGTCTTTCATGCCACTGATTAACTCCTTCACTGTCAAGTTTTTGAAAACCAGTTTTACACCAATACCAGTAAAGGCGAATTTAATTACTGTACTTATCCACATAACTTAAAGTCTCCATATTTATGAACTTGCTTGATATATAAGAACATGGTTAGCATAGCTGAGATCAGTATATTTAACCCTTTCTTCTTTAGGAAAAGAGATCTAATGTGTTGATACTATTTCATTGCAATGCATGCAAATGCACATGCTGGTAGCCAAAGAGTTAAGTTTAATAGCAAAAAACTGGTTTGCCACTACTTTGGTAAACCTCCCATGCGGTCACAAGAGTTGAACACTCCAAAAGGCTTGTGGGGCCCCTACCAGCATATATTATGTATGTTGTAGAGCCAATTGCTATGCACTTTAATCACTGAAGCTTGTTCCACTTTCCACTGGCGAAATTCATTGCAATAGAAAGTCCTAACCTCACTGGAATGTGATAAGAGGGGAGGGAGCACATATCTCTCAACAAAAAATCTCTCAATATTTTATTGACCATATTATTATTTATTATTTTATTTATATAGCACTAGCAAAATTCTGTAGCGCTGTACAACGGCCATAGAAGCCTAGATTGTACAAGAGAAGCCTAGATTGTACCAGTGTATAAGAACCAAATTGCCCCCTTCTAGTCGTTACTATGGCTTATTCACTAAACAGTGAATTGTGTGTTGAAAACCTATCTAGGTCAAATGGTAAAGCTGGAAACCCAATTTACAATTATTTATGTAGTGTCAACATGTTCACGGTTTTAAATGCACCACAGATCACTGTTTAGTGAATGACACTCTCTCCTGTCCTTTCTGCCCTCTGTTATCCAAGGTGTACCTATTAAAGTGATCGTCTTCTCTGGTATGTTTTTGGTTTTTTTACTTCATAGTATCTTTTTGTATATGTTTTGAAGCAATTTTCTCCAGAACTGGGCACAGCATTCTATGTGAGGTCTCACTCGATACAATGTAAAAAGAGATTCAGGGTTATTCCCTAAACTCCGGTTTGTAGTAAATTGAAATCCGAATAGCTAAACCGAGGCTATAACAGAGTTGAAGAACTTTTTTTGACCAGTTTTTTTTTTTTTTGTCCCAGTTTTGCCATTCGGATTTCAATTTGTTACAATATGGAGTTTAGTGCATAATCTTGTCTGTGTGATGCCAAGGCAGCTGGCATGCGAGAAAGAAAGGAATTTAACTACTTGTTTGGGTGTTTAATTGTAAATGTTGGGCATTGTCTTTGTGGGAAGAAGGATGCTGGTATCCTCCTGTCCCAAACTGACACCCTCCAGCTGCTGTGTGACCATGACGGCTGCATTTCAGGGTGAACATCCAGGTAAAACAATGTACATTTCCATCCAGGTTTGTGTATCTTTCCATGACGTACAGTTACCTGGCGTTGAGATGTGCAGTACACGTGCACGCATGTGGGAGCTTTGCCTGTGTTTGTGCAGGTGAGGCTAGTACCTGCCGGTCCCAACCTGCCTTTAAACTCAATTAATTCCATGCCTGGAGAAGGGTTGTACAGGAGAGATATGTCAGGGAAGAGGACTTTCATTCCAGACACATCGAAGGATTCCTGACTTGCCCATAGCATTCTACTGTTTTCTATGTAGTTTAGCATAGAACAAAAAAACAACTTTTTTTTACAAGATATAGTCGGAAAACAGAGGAGGTTATCACATGATTTTATTTGTTTTTATTTTCCTGTGTTTTAATTGCATGGTTGAAAGGTAATATACCTTAAAACACAGGTCATTATTAAATTTTACATTTAGCAGGCAGTTTGCTAACGAATGTCTCGATAAACAATTTTATTTCACCTTAAGCTTCCTAATTCTATATCCAAGACTTACTAGTACCATAACCACTATAATGGGTTGAAGTGGTTATGGTACCTAGACTATCTCTTTAAGGGATCGTTGTACCTGAAGAGGTTTGTCAGTATTTGCATATCACACTTTGCTCCTGCCACATCCTCTCTTACTAATTTCTTTTTTGTTTTATGTAGTATCACATGCATGTTCTCTTGGCGTATGCTTTTGTTGGTTATATGGGAGAGCAACCTCTCATTATTGTTGTTTATCACATCAGCTGTTTATTTAGCCTGACTTTAACCTCCAACAGGTTTTTCAGGTAGCAGTCACTCTAAAGGCAGGACTTAAAATTTCAAGTCCCACACAACTAGCCAGGCATTAAAAGTTACTCGCCACTGCAAACCTGGAGAGTCCATGGCATACCCACGAGGGGTAAATTTATACTCGCCAGGACTACATTTTCAGTTGCCAATGGCTAGTGAACAGTGAAAACTTTGAGCCCTGCTAAGGATTGCGATAACTCTTTATTATCATTTATGTATAACTGCCCCAATGCCTGCTACTATACTCCGGAATCCAGGATAAAAATTCTAAAAAATCATATAGGCAGACTAGTTTAAACCCACACATTTTAGGCCAGTAGAGCTGAATTTGAACAATTCTCAGACTAAGGTTTTTTTTTCTTAATTAATTTTTTTATTTTAATCCAGCCGTTTTTATTTATTTAAAAATATTTTACCAGGAAGGATCCATTGAGCTTTCTCTCGTTTTCACACATCCTGCCTATGGAATAACCCCCCCCCAATTTCTTTTTATTTTCTTCCAAGTCAACCTTTTTATGCGGTTTTTAATTATTTACCGCTGTTTAAGGACCTTAGCATTACTATTTTACAAGCATCTGTAGTAGGTGTAAGCTCTATTGAATAGGGTGTTAACGCATTTGTTTATTTGCAATGTTACCTGTAAGACACCTATTATTTTTTTTTTATTTATATGGTGTGAGGATATGATCATTTTATTCTCTTCCATTAGTATAAACAAAATAGCTCAATTAAATGGAACTTGTCATGCCCAAAAATACTTTTGATCTTTTTTTTTTTTTTTTAAATATCATCAAATTTCATCACTACATTGTGCTACCAGTTTTGCTAGCAAATGAATAGTTTGGGAAAAACACATATAAAAAAAATGTTTTTCTCCCAGCTGTCAATTAATTCTTCAGCATAGACTGTATGCCAAAGTATTGATTGAGAGAGAAGAGACCTCCCACAGGAGGTCTTTACACTCTCCATGCTTAGCAACCACAGCGCATGCATTGTGATTGCTATGCAAACTCACCAGCCAACTCTGCTAGCACTGGCTAGAGAGTATAGGAACAGAGTTTGGGCGCAGGCATGGGGAAATGAATCCGACATGTTGGCTTCATGTAGGAAGTTTGCCCTGCTTGGGGAAGTGTCCCTAAGCAGGAGAAATCAAGAAGAGAGCATGAGAAGCGAAGGTAGCACCCACCTCCGTAAAGACAATGCATCTGAACAGTTTCCAGTTTGGAAGAAACATTGATCTATTCCGCATAAAATAAAGCTATTTCTCTATCTAGAAATGTCCTACTTGTTGAAGCTTAACAAGTTTATATAATTGAATTGTGAAGAATTCCCTTGTGAAGGGAATTGCAAACTGAGTGATTAGTATGTAAGCAGGTACGGACATGCCTCTCGCATGTCAGAATTATAGGAAGTACTAGAACTGCGAGGAAACTCATTTTATAGTACTGAAAGTGGCTCTGTCACTGTCTGGGATCTTTGCATAGTTTGAAAAGACCCACAACGTTGACTGCTCCCCTGGCAGTGTGGTGGCTGAGGGGTGAGGGGGAAGGTGCACTATAGTTACCTGAAACTGTCCTTCGCATCTGCCACCATTTTCTTTCTGCCCGTTCTCTTTAGCTCTTGGTGCTTCAGCTGCCAGGAGCCAACATGTTGTACGCACATGAACTAGAGAATAACACTAAAACCTTGGAGGACCTCGCGAGACCACAGGATGTTCCATAGACAGAGCTGAGTGACAGCTGAGTGGTTGACAAAAGGTAGCTCTGCTTTTTTTTTTTGTTAAAGCTGGTCAAATGTAGGAAAAATACTTAGTATCTCTTTTGACTAGGTTGGAATTTCAGTGAAATTCTAACACCTTCAATGTCAGTATTACCTAAAGATTTAATTGTTATGAAATTCTAATTTCTAAGGGGAGGGGGGGGTCTGCTTGCAAAAAAAACCTGTAGGTGCAAATAGCAGTGGAAATAAGGCAGCCTAAACTTTATCCTGGGATTTGTCCACCCTGTATTTGGGGATCACTAGTTTTGAATAAGCCTCTTAGAACCAGTGTGCTAAGCAGATCTGAATCATATTTGAGTTTGTCCTCATCATACATCTGGCCCAAGTTTAATCTTTCCCATTGTGAGATCTTTTGGAAAACTCCAACCAGAATAAACATCCTCTTTCTACCGCACGTTCACACTACAGCTGAAATGAGCTGCTTTTATATGTGTATTTTTATGGATTAACATTTATCTGATGTTTGAACCTGAACACAACCAGCATTTTATCTTTTCAGGACTAATAATATTATATTTTAGTTGAATAACCCCTACCACCAATTTACTCCAAACAATATTGCAAAACACATCAGAATTTTGTTTCTTTTATTTCTGCTGACAAAATTGGTCAATATTATTAACATGTTCTTTGATGGTTATTAGTTTTATGACCATGTGCGAGTCAACCCAGGTGAGAGAAGAGGTAAGGTTTTTGTTTTTTGTTTTCTTGCAAAACTATTTTACTATAAGACTCTCAGTCCTACAGTCCTTTTCAGTGTTCTATTAACCTAGAACGAGCTCTTCACCAATATAAAGATTAGGAGTGTTGACTTATTATGAAAGAGTACAAGAAAAAAATTAAAAATGTTTGATTTCGCTTTGCAGAGCAGAAATAGAAGTTTGAATCAGAAAACATAGAGATGGTTAATGGGGGTCTATCCCTGGTACCCTAGGCCGTCACCTTATGATCAATCCTGCTCTACATGAGTGAGTACGTTGTACAAACAGTGGGGAAAAGTCTTGTGTTCATAGAGTTAATCTGAAATTGAAACTTTATAAAACATCTGAAAATAATATTGTAGATAGGAAATTGGATGGTCTGTATTGGTTAAGTCCCATGACTTTTCTCAGCCTCTTTATGTAATTTGGGAACACTGGACCGTGAGAACGTGTTGCTAAGTGCAGTGTGTTCTAAGTTTATAAAGGTTTGCTGGCAACAAATCTCTTTGTACACAATAGGTGCTGCACTCTCTGTTCCGATCCTGTGATACGAGCCTGGAATACCTGACGTTCTTTGTCACGTACCTTGAAAGATTTTGTTTTAGGTACAGGAGGTCCTTTCCTAGTGAAACAGGATATATTTGTTTTTTAAGCCTAGATTTTCTCAGCTCTCCAGCTAAGGGTGTAGCACTGTCGCAAGCAGCCTCCTGCTTTAGTGCTATGTTCAGTGCTCAGAGGTTCCTACATGCCAGATTAATATTGTAACCAAGAGACGTAATTGTAAAGTGTGACGTTTATAAGGGTTTGAATAAATATCAGAGACAGGCGAGCCTTGGTGTCAGTGGTTTCCGCTAGGGGAAGAAACCATAACACCCTGAATAAAGAGTTACTATTACAGCCATCACATGATTTATAGTCTGTTGTAGTTAAAGACAGTTGAATAAGGATTATTAGCATGTTTCAGACATGGTTTATTTGACAGTCCTCATTAGTCTGATGCTTTTTCAGAAACACAGGGGCTGGCAATATTTGGTGTCTGAGAGGCCATTAGTATTGTGTAAAATGGCAGAAGCTTAGAGACCTTAGTGTACAGACAGCGGGTCCCGTCCCATTCTGCAAGACACAGATGTCAGTATCCTCCTAACAAAAGCTGTGAAATGGCTAACTCACATGTTGCTGTTGCGAACCATTCGTAAAGAAGATAGGATTTTATTTTTTTCGCCCCTTATCTTCCTATGTATACATGATCTATTTTATATATTAGATATACACAAGTAGGCCAGCAACCTCCCACCACCGTCCTATTGTTTCATGTCAAACAATTGGAGCAGTTTGACAAACTTTTTTTTTTGTTGCTCTCCGTAATAGTGATAATTTCACTTACATATAATCCCTCCAAATCCGTCCAACCTTGGATGGGAATACTAATTGAAGAGTGTTGTGCAGCCCTCATTGCTTGCAGCCTTCCATTGCTGTCCAACACTCATTGTCTTGTTGGGGATAAATCATATTGTCTTGTATAACAAGCTTACCATAGAATAGTTTAGTCCTTTCTACAGGTATGTAGTAATGTTTTACTGGGCAATTCCAGTGAAATTCTCTCTTAGCTGACGTCTTTCAGCTGATCAGGAGTTTGTGTATTGTTTAAAGTAGCCATTTCCTAATCTATGAATTTAATTTGCTTTTGTTCTGACCTATTTCCACTGCCCTTTGTTCTTCCGACTAAAATTAATCTCATTTTACAATTATTAATCTGGAAGGACAAAATGTTAAAATAAATAGTTACATTTGATTTTCGTTATACCGTTTGTAATAGTCTTGTGAACAAATTCTAGCGGTCTGGGTGCTGTTTAGGCATCACTTATCACAAAGCATCATTTCGGCAATCTGTGGTTTATAAACACATTACCACCAATGTTCTCAGGAAGTAACATTTTTCTTTTTAAAATCAGATAGGGCCAGGCGCATTCATTTACGATAAACTCACAAATGTCATCTCTTAGTGATGCTTTTATTTGCTGAGGATATCCAGATAGATCTGTTGTAAGCTTGAAATAGACCTTATAGGGTTTTAAATACTTCATTATAGAATGGCATAAGACCCCCTAATCTCGAAATCCACGTTACGTGTGAGTTTCCTTCACTACAAATCCTGTTTCAGGCTGAGCCGGATTGCACCCAGCATTACAGCACCTGGAATTTATTTGCATAGACAGTGTAGTTCAGGTCCCAGCTTGTGTACATTGTCCATATGTAGCAGAAGATTGCAAATGCATGCAAAAACACCGGTGCAAGCAGGTACTGAATTACTGAAGGTAATAAGGCAACTAATGTGGCATATATTTCTCCCTTTTAATTTAAGGTGAAAATGGATAAAATCATCCAAACTCTACCAAATGGTGTTTTATTTTATAGCACCCCCATAACTGACCTTTTTAAATATTTCAACATTATAACCCGATGAACATGTCATTACGGGTCCATACAGCAGCAAGAGATTTATCTATCCTAGCGTGACTGCTGCTTGCGTGACAGGCCACACTAGTCACTTTGTACTTCAACACAGTTGTTATCTCCAACTACTCACTGATAACAACATGCTGAATAAATAAACCCACCCAATGGATAATGCCTGGGGTTTTTCAAGCTGATCTTTGGATGTTTGCTTGAGGTGTTCCCCCTCCAATTCCCTGGGTAAAGATACATCCCATAGCAAACTGGCTGTGTAAAGAAGCCTTAGAAGTGTTTTTGTTCACTGCTGGTTCATGGTTTTCTAGTTCGAGATAAAGTCCGTTAGTTCGTTTTATTTGATTGTACAGGGACCAAATCATCACGTTTTATACCATGGTCCTCAAACTCCGGCCCCCCAGATGTTGCTGAACTACAACTCCCATGATTCTCTGGCTATCTATGTAATTCAAAGAATCATGGTAGTTGTAATTCAGCAACATCTGGGGGGGCCGGAGTTTGAGGACCCTGGTTTTAGACACTTGGCCCTTTTGCAAATCCACTCCATCATGTAAGTTATTGCTTTTAAAAATGAGGGTGGTAGGAGGGGCTTGGGGGGTAGATAAACTGGATGCATAACTGAATTTGAAGAATTTGTCTACTTTAAACTATTTTGTCTGTGAGAATTTTGAAATTCCCTTTGAATTCCTGACAACTTTCGCATTGGTTAACAACCCTATAAATTATAAATCTTGTTTTGTGAGAGAATTGGACACAATAAATTGTGTGCTTGTTGTTGTGTGTGTTTTTTTTTCTTATCTTCTTTGTTAACTCTTTATATAAGTACAGGTGGTAGTATAAAACATCAGTAAGTCAGTGGCTTAAAGGATGTGTAAAAGTCACCCAAACCATTTCATCTCAATGAAGTGGCCTGGGTGTAGTGGTCCCTTAGTTTTAGTCATTCAACATAAAACATTGCAGTTTTTAGCAACTGCGTGTGCGCACCATACCACCTCTGTGATGTTGCAGGAGGCAGAGGGGTCAGTAGCATTGAGCGAGCCTACTAAAATTTAAACTTGTATTTTCATAATTTTTTATTTTTTTTATCATAAAGCCCAGGTTTATATTCCCAATGCTTTAACGTCCCTTTAAATGTTACCTTACAGTGGATTTAACACAAAGTCTGTGTTTGTAATATCAGGGAGAAGAAGAAGAAGAAGAATAGGCCAGAAGGTAAGAGTTGAAAAGCAAAGAAATGAAAGTGAGAGAAAGATAAGAAATTGCAGCTTCTTCTGTTTGTGCTTGTTTTAAAGGGATATTGCTGGAAAAGGCAAGTCACAATTGACATGGATCCTGTTTATTCAACCTAATCTCCTTAATTGCCATCATTTTCTATTTATTTTTTTCTTCTTCCTCTTCTCGTACTGGTCTTTTAGACCCCTAAACTGTGGGGTCTGTTGAGATGAGTATATTACTTCCAAGTTCACTTTGAGTATGAACACCCATTATTATGACGTAGCTGCCATCAGTGGAGCTGAATCATTTCTTTGGGTTGTTATTCATTACATACCGCTTGGTAAGCTTTTTTTCACAATTGCACCCTGGGTCAGTTAATTTTAAATCTTGCCAAGTGTTTTGTGAGACATAAAGATTGTACTTGATTATTGTTAAGCTGCTCTTGTGTTCTGCTGAGATTGATGTTAAAAGACACTAAAGGTTGTTTTTTTTTTTGTTAGTTTTTTTTTTAAGTTTGGTAATTTGACGCAGAATTTAGCAAATGTTGACATTGTTCTAATAAAATTGGTGTCTGTCCATACTTCTACTCCACCATTTGATGATTGACCCAGAGGGATGCAGCATCCATACATAAATCTAAGCACAGCCTATAAGGGAAAACACTTTAAAGGACCACTATAGTGCCCTCCTGCCGGGCTCTGGGGAGAGGAAGGGGCTAAACTTACCTCTTTCTCCAGCGCCGGATGGGGAGCTCTCCTCCTTCTCTCCGCCTCCTCTCCTCCTCTTCGGCTGAATGTGCATGCACGGCAGGAGCTGCGCGCGCATTCAGCCAGTCTCATAGGAAAGCATTCATAATGCTTTCCTATGGATGGCGAAGCACGCAAACGCCTCTAGCGGCTGTCAATGAGACAGCCACTAGAGGCTTTAGAGGTTGAATTAACCCTATTATAAACATAGCAGTTTCTCTGAAACTGCTATGTTTATAAAAAAAAAAAGGGTTAACCCTAGACGGACCTGGCACCCAGACCACCTCATTAAGCTGAAGTGGTCTGGGTGCCTATAGTGTTCCTTTAACCTTCAGTATATATTACAATACAATTTATACAAGCTACCATATTTGCAGCATCTATTTGACTTAATTTCAGTACTGATAATATGGATCTATACATATGAATGAAGAAGTATACCGATTACATGTTTACATTTTCCTTTATAGCTGTTCAAATCTACCATTATTGAATTTTTGAATAGCCAAAGTAATTATTTGATGGGACTTGTGGATGTATGGTGGATTACATGCTGCGAGGAAACACAAAATAGGAAACCTAGCTGTACATGTGATCTAAATACATGCCCCATGAACTATGTCCTGTGTATCCTGCAGGGTTTGACGAAGGTGTTCTATCCCAGTGGAAATGGCCCATAACATCTCTGTCCCCCTGTCCTTCCTCTCTGAATTCCTGTTGTTTAGGAAGTTGCAAGTTTATCATAGCAGTTCTTCCTGCTAAACTCTTCTGAAAGCCATGCCTGGCTGTGGGAGCTTATCTCAGGAATGTGCAATCCATATCATTGTTAGTTGATTTACCCCATCACCCTTCCTCCATGCGCACATAGCATGCCTTCACTAATGTCACATACAGACCAATTGGCTGACCATAATTAACCGGAGGATTCTATAGAGTGAATTTAGCAACATCTTCAATGGATTGCACAGTTGAGAGTCTGTCAGGTCAGAATCTGACAGTTCGGTTTAGGAATTGTCACATTGTAAAAGGGTGAGCCAGGATCCTGAGTGACTGCTAACACCGGTCCTCTGCAGTGCTTCCATACAGATGTTGACCGTAGGGCTATATAATGGGATGTTAGGGAGCTCTGGAAGGATGTGTTCTGATGCAGGTCTTAGTTTGCAATTTATGAATAAAGTGACTGTGGCAGGAAACCAGCTCTAGATGATATTGGCATTTCAGATAGAAATATTATAAAGTGAATTCCCCGCTGCCAAGAAATCTTAGTTTTCAAAGGGTGTGCTGGCTGGTTTTACTTCAGTAACTCATTAACTAAACTTGACATTTGCTGAACAACACATGTATTGTAAAACGAAGCCACAAATAATCTTGTGGCTGTTCGGAGGTCATTCTGGCAACATGGGGTTAATGGTTGATAGGCTGAGTGACAAAGCAGAAGCCTGTTTGAATTGTTAATGTACAGTCAGCCAGGAACTTTGCAATCCCCTTCAGAAAATGCCAATCTGTTTGTGGCACTTGTTATGTACCCTGTTGAACCCTAATGGAAGTGTTTAGGAACTGGCATATCTGTGCGGTTTTATTTGGCAGGTCTCTTTTGGCTCACTGCTGTTAAGAGGCTGTGGTGTGGACAAGTCATTCCAATTTAACCCTAAACTAAGCATTTGTGGGTGTAGGAGTAGTTTTGTGGTTGAAGTGTGAATTCCCACAGATAGTGGACACCAGACATACAGACTAAACTCAGGAATATTGATAGCCTTTATTCCACAGCAATGAAGAGAGAAGGTGGGTGGGATTCTGTAAATCAGGACATGAATATATGATCTTACGAATATGAATTTAATTTTAATAAAAGAGATGATCAGCGCTGCGGCTCTATGGCTAAAAGCTATTTGTACAATGTTTTCTTTAGAATGTGTTTGTTGCATTAAGGAAAATCAAAGTACATAAGGCACAAACCACAAATATAAATGATTGGAATAGGGCTGCTGAAGGATGCGTTTGTTTATCACTTTGTCTTCCTCTAGGCTATATATATGTTGGTGGTAAGCATTTTCCCCTTGGCCCTCTACCCAATTGCTTTTTTCTTCCCTATGGTCGAACAGGCAAGGGTTAAAACAAAATGTTAAACGTGCGTGTATCAACAAATATAAATATTCTCCTAAGTGTATTTCATCAGAACCTATGTACGTTGCTTTATTTGAAATTGCATCATAAGTAATTGTCAGGTAGGCCAGCGAATTAAGGATAAGTCAGGTGAGAGAAGCTTTATTTAATTATACGTGTCTCATTGTGAAAAAACAATTGTTTCAGGTATACACCAGGTCTGCTTACAGAGCAACAGTTGCCAAACTGGATATTCTCTTTGGTGAGCTGACAATGATTGCCAATCTGGAAAATTACTTAAAACGCACTGTATTGGCATAGATTTTATATTCCCAAAGCATTACAAATGAGTGCTGGTCCTGCTGTAGAAAGCACTTGCCTTTATGTAGAAGTTAATGATTTTTTATCTATTTATTTTAAACGCTCAAATTTTGGAACAGACAGTATCTATCTGGCTTTACTAAGCATCATGGGAGTTTTAGTTTGCCATTTTTTCTTTGTGCCCGTATTTGAAACATAATTTAAAATCGGTTTGCCAGAATGTATATCACTTCGATTAGGTGCATTCCATAAACGAAATCTAAAATCCGTTACTACATTTTTATTCATTTATAGTGTTATATTCCGCAGTTACAATAGAAGAACTCTGCTCATACGTGTGTACTTTTTAGACCTGTAATATGCACTTTTATTAAAACATCTTGTGTATATATTTTTCTTCTTCACTTCTTCAAGAGTCCCGTTTGTGATCCTGAGCATTGCGTAGCTAGAGACTGTAGATAGGTTGTGTTGAATGTAAATTTGTATAACAAGCAATTAAACCTCAAAAGACTCTTCTGGCTTGCTAAGGCTTTCTAATCGGACAAATCTTCTGCCAAGGCACTTAAAGGACAGGAAGTTTAGTTTGCATGAAAAGCCTTTCAGTGTTACAGATTTTTGATGTCTAATAAAGGAAAACTGGAATACTTTTAAGCTAATTTTAACATGTTGTCCATGCAATCTCAATTAATGGATTAAAAAAAAAAACAGCCTCTTGCCTTCATTTATTTTTTTTAATTTTTTGGAGAGACAATATACTGCCCAAATACAAAAGAAAACACTGTTTAGTAGCTATGCCACAAATTAAAACCTGAATGCATTTTTTTTTAGATTGGGGGCATATCTAAAAACTGCTTGCAAAAGCTACAGATCTCTTGCCCAGACATTCCGCGGGCAATTGCCTGTCTCTAGAGTTTAGCTCAACTGAGCTAAACCACCAGGAAGTAAAAGGGCTAGTTACCTGATTGACAGCCAGGGTGGTGTAATAAGGTTACTTTTATAAAAGTTCCAAGTTCTCTTGGAATCTTTTTTTTTTTTTTTTATAAAGGTCTGGAGTATCCATGTTGTGTCATAATCCATCTTCTGCTTTTTTTTGTTTTAAATATGAAAAATATTCTCGACATAACCTTTTATACGAAGAGGATGGAGTGTCTCATCTCTGACCAATGAAAGCAAGTGTTATCATTTTCTCTCTCTCTCTCTCTCTTCAGTTAGAGTTAATTTGAGTGTTTTAGTTTACATTCCATTGTGACAGGCTTCTCATGCAAATAACATGACTCTGTTTCGATGGGAAGATATGGGCTGTGAGAGAGAACACTAAACCCCATTGTTATTGTGTCTGAGCGTTAAAGGCAAGAACAGTTTTTAAAACCAGAGCAAATGCTGCTTGGTTGACTGCAAGCTCTCTGCTCAGTACCTGGTGATGGATTATAGGAATTGGTTTCTTCTAGCCTCTATCTTAAAACAAACACACATGGATCTTGCAAAGAGGAGTGGGCTGCAACCTCCCCCCACCCCTACACGATTAACAAATGTTCTAAGGAATATTGAGCAAATTCTCCTCTGTGGCCAAAATACTCCATGAAATCTGAAGCCAGCATGGGGGGCCTTGGAAAGAAAGGGTGAGCCAAACATCTGAATGCAATTACCACACCACAGTCCTGCACCTTGTAACACCATTCCCTCATCACAGACTACATTTTTTTTTTTTGGTCCCTGGGAGGGCCATGTACAAGCTCCACCTCTGAGAGCGTGGGCCCAGTGCTTTGTTATTCTCAGCTATTTTGATTACAAACCCTAAAAAGAAATAAAAGGGGAAAAAAATGGTTGAATGACAGCACGATACCAGCGCAGCTCAAATTGCTAGGCAACTAGAAAATCTCCTTGCGCAATCTCTTATTAACCTCTTTTTCTGCCCGGGTGAGAAGATAGAATTGGATATTTTCACACATACTGCTGTATGCCTGCATTAATGGAAGGGTTAATTTGGCCCAAACCCGTAATAGTGCTATTGTATTACAGTTCGCTAATCCGTAATTCTTGAAATGTAAGAACATCTCTTGCATTCACAGTGTCCCTTTGTGCCCATCTGTCACCTCTTTGTGATTAAATGAGGCCCCCTCCTGCTTTGACCCGGATTCAGAGGTCCTCTCCTGAAAGGTATATGGGATGTGAAATGGTGAACTGTCAGCCTTGTTTAAGTATCTTCATCACACAATATTACAAGAATTCGATACATCACCTGTAACAGCACTGAGCAAAGGTTCTTACAAAGAAAGGTATATCTCCGTCTGGGACTAAAGCACTTTGAAAGGATTGCCAGACCAAGAGGAATGTTTCAGTATTTCACGTGCTGACTTGTGACAGATAAACAAATGTAGTCGCAAGGTTGCTTTGTGTGTCAACAATTCTTTGTTAATGTGGCCTGGCGTATTTAAACAGTGCCAATCCTTTGTGGTAGTACTGCGTTAAGCCATTCCCTTCATACCTTTCTAATTAGTCACCAAGTGTATGCATATTAGATGGACATTTCTTACTTAAGTTACACACGTAAGCAAATGCTTTTTTTAATTTATATGTTCTTAATCTTTCCACTGCCTTTGAGGGAAAAATCTGCCTCTCAGACAAAAAGGAGGTATTTTGCTAATTGTTTCAAAGTTAGCGGTGGGAGGAAGGTTAGTCCCTGAATACGTATTAATGGTGTTTTAAGACTGTGGAATTATTTAAAAATAAAAACATTCTTTCCATGACACCAGATTGGCAATTCAAGTAAGGAGCAAAGGATCTTCCCCCTTGCTCGTATTATGAAAATGTTGTCTTTTTATTTTTTTTTCTCTTGTAATTTGAATTGAATTGTGCTAAAGGGATTTATTCATTAAACAGGGAGTCTGGCAATGTTACAAGTCAGGTGGCAAAATATGAAATAATTAGTCGAAGAGTGTTTGTTTGTTTTTCTAAATCTATTCTGTTACGCCAAAATTTGGAACTCAGTTGATGACGCGAAACAAATTTCTGTTGAGTACATAAAGCACAGGTGTTTTAAAAGAGGTGAATTATTTTTAAGGGTCCACTTTATTATTATCAATTATGAACTGGAATACATGTATACACTGCACATTGCCTACACCGCACTGTTCAATTGTCGTGAGGTTTTACAATCATTTTAAAATGTTGATCCCCACTGAATAACGTGGGAGTGGAACTTTAAAGATCTACAGTAGGCCGCTAAGAGTTGGCTTCATTATACTCAATGATGCTGAGCCGCTGTCAAAACTCCTAAAGGAGCACCTGCTGTGTAAAAATAGGAAAGTGCTCGAGTAGGTTATTTCCCATGGCCTGAAGACCCATTCCACATCCTCCTCCATCTGCAATTACAGAGATCTCAGCCCGGCTGCCCCATTGGTCCCGTACCAGGCAGCTGCCCCCTCGGGTCCGTTCTGTCACACTGAGGGAATTGTGGCATCCTCGTTGTTGTCTCTTTGTGTTCTCCAACACAAGAAAAGCAGGAGGGAGGGGACTGTTATTGTTCTGCCAAGGGTTTGGAGAAATTCCATCCCGCTCGTCCATAATGTGGCTTTGTTTTCTCAGACGAGTTAGGCCAAGATCCCCCAACACAGGCCTGGAAGGGTGGAGTGGGGGGAGAGAATCTCTGCGGATGTGGTTGGCTTTTGAAATATATAGGTTCCTACTTGACTGTGAAGTTTCACTTTCCAATAATACTCATTAGCAGGCCAACATGCTTTGTTTTTGCCATTGAATGTGTTTATTATTTCTTTTGGCTTTTAATGTAATTTTTTTTTTTTTAACTCTTAAGTCATTATCTGTAATTTTGGTGTGCATATTAACTACATATTTTTCTAAGAACACTTCATATTTTAAAATATTTTGTGATGACTGCCCCGGTTTCACATCATGAAAAAATGCTTCCTATTTGCAAGTTGACATGCTTTAGTGAACCTACTGCGCTATAGTGATGCAGGGTTGCTTGCCTGAGTGTTATAGGAGTTACAGTTCATTGCATATTCAAGAATGATGCCCCCTAAACCAAAACCCTCCAAACTGTACAAACATCTAAACCCTCTACTCTGGGTATACTACTGCACACTATTTTATTACAGCTCCTAGCACAGCAGTGTACCCGGCACTTTAAATAAAGTTCATGATTGTAAACGTCTCTAGTGCTAGGGCAACATTAGCCAGGACATTTGCCATATCGACCCCGTTCTTTTCTTTTTTTTTTTTTATGTTCCTGTTTGAACATCTCCTTAAAGGGACACTCCATTTTTCAGTAGATTTATTCTTTTTAAATTCATTATAGGTAATGTATTAGAAACAAATGTGCTGTAAAAAATGTGTATACACAAATACAGGAACTTTAAATGAAAATGACTAGGCTTTACAGCTGCTGCAGTGAGCTCACCACAAATCAATAAGTGGCTTGTACAATTCTCATACTTAAATATCTTCCAATAGTGAACGCAGTGTATGTCGCTCAAACCCTTTCAGGATTTTCTGGGAATTCTTATGAAACCATGTGATTCTTACTGTAAAAGTCTAACAGCTGCATTACAACTAGCAATAAGTCAACAGTGTTGTGGCATCATATACAGTACTTGTATTGGAGCAAAAAAGAATACCGGGCGGGGGGATGTTCCCTGGATGTGTTATCTATAATATGCTGGATAATCAAGGTAGCCATGACTAATATAATTATCCTGCTGATAATTTGCTGCTGGATACTTTTTATATAAATCTGTCCAGCATGCTTTATAATATATATTTGGCTAAGTGTATATATATTTATTTTTTTTACATGAAAAAAGCGGTTGCCTTTTTCTAATTCTCTACTCAGTCTAGGTGTTAGCATTGTACGTGATCATTTCTCATTTCTAGACAGGCTTCCTGTGCATTGGAAACCACAAACCGTTGTCTGACGATCAAACATGCCACCCACTATATATCTGTGTATATATGTATATTCTTGATTGATTAAGGGGATTTCTTAGGATTTATTCGATTTATCCTTCACCGTGTGGCATTTTTGTGTTGCTGCTCTCTAAACCCTTAGGTTGGACTTTGACCTTCTGTGATCCCTGAAGAATTTGAGGAATGTGTTCATAGTCAATTTGTTCCCGTGAGCAGCTTTAGGAATCCAGAATTTCCACCTATAAACCATTGCTCTAGTTATGCAAGCCTGTCGGATTGGGTGTATCTGCCACACAGAGCCTGGATGTTGTTTTTGCTAGTAATGTTCGGACCTCTTTATTACACAGCCAGTGCATAATAATAATTAGCCATGGCTAATCTAACAATACTAATTTGTTTCCATGCAGCAAATCGGTACCCAGATCCACCCATTAAATGTGACCACACATTTACTTAATCTAACACTAACTTTGCGGTCGCTAGCCAAGTAGGATTACCACTGTGCCGTATTTCTTTCTTTTATGATTTCTCTGATCATTTAAGGTTGGCATTTTAAGTGCTGCCAGGCCGTTGATGGCTTGTGTGCACCTGGTGGGAAATTGATTAACAAGTCACGGTGATTCACACAGAACCCCAGTCTCGATTGCTATCACACAGCAGATCTGGAAATGTTGTGTATTGCTAAGCAATGCTGCCCAAGCAAATGAAGAAATTACAAATGTCATCTCGTACCCCTCCTTCTTCTCCCTGTGACTAAGTACTCTAGAAAATGTAGCCCGTAAAGCTGTTCAGTGACAACGTTTACCATTGCTAGCGTATAATGAATGCTGGCTGGTCACTTTGTAGAAATCTAGTGCATAAAAATATACTGTGCCAAGATAAATCATTACTCAGGTTCATGAAGTGGTTATGACTATTAGTAATTATACAGCTCTTGATGGAAACGCCACGCGATTTCACAAAGCTTTATGCTTCCTATATAAAGACATATTACTTTAGTTCATTCAACTGTATTAAGGAACCCATTTGCTTAGTCACCTTCAGGCTCAATCGGACACGACTGACTTAAGTAATTGTTCTGTGAGATGCTGACTTTCAATAGTAAATAATGTCCTAAATCCTGAGAACAGCATCTTATTCCGTCTCTACATATAATTACTGATACATGTGTTTGCGGATATTGGTACGTTGAAAGCGAAAATTGACGAAATTGGCTACTCAGGACATCTCCAACATGTTTTAGCTCACTTGTACCATTACAAAATGAGGCATGTCTATTCACATATCCAAATGATCATATTCTAGAATAGACCTTGCTTCGTGAAGTACACTAGGCACAGGAAGTCTACATCAGAATTACCCACTTTACCTAGGGAGAGCCTAGTTTTATGAAAATAAGCCCACGCAGAGTGAAACCTTACTGGAATTTTGGATCCAGACTTTCCATGTGATAATGGCACAAGTGAGCAAAAGTTTGAGTTCTTAATCAGGGAAGCGTCATCTTCAATGTGTCTCTCTTACGTTCTGTTTCTGTGTTGTTGGGGTTTTTTTGTTTGTTTTTGGGGAGGGGTGGTGGAGGAGGGGGGAGGGGTTATCCACCCTGTTTGCAAATGGGGTTGCCATATCTGTGGTAGGATTTGGAGCCTTCCAAGTCTGAAAAATGTTTGTGTGAAATTAGTCTGATATGCAAATAGTACAGGTTTGTTTTGAACTCCTGATAATATGCAAAAGGGAAGCCGTTGCCTGTCTGACTGGGCATTGAGCTGCCCATAAAGCTGTTAAAGGCTCTGCCCATGGACTGGATGCCCTGAGAGCACTTTGCAGAGTGCAGGCATGTTAAATGATCTTGCATTGCGCTTGCTGGGGACAGGTATTCTCTGTAATCGCACAAGTGAGAAAAAACTATTTTAAGACCTGAGCAGGGATTTACCGAAGGACAATCTACTGAGTTCCTCTAAGCTTTTGTCTGTTCTCAGAGGTCTCATATTCTTTATTGCCGTGGAACTGGACCCTGATACAGGGACTCTCCTACCGAATCCAGGACTGTCGGGTGGTGTGACTTTATGATGGCACATGTAAGCCAAGATTCCTTGGTTTAAACTAACCATAGATCTAGCTACGTGTGTGTGTGTCTTTTACGCTCCTTTTGGTTCCCAAGAATAAGAGTTCTGATTCCACTTATAGTTAGATCATTCATGTATTAGAACTATTTTGTTCCCTTTCTTTTTACTACAGAGAGATCTAGCCATTCTTCTCTTTGCTTCTTTCATTGAAATTGCATTCCATGACATTATTCGTTTACTATAATGTAAGCTTTTAGTGTCTGGATGTGCAATTAAGGCCAGTTCAGCGGCTTATAAAGATTAAAGGCATCCAATTGTCTAATGTACACACTTTGTAACAGAGTTAGTGAACATTCTGTCTCCCTGTACTGACCTCTTGGTCTCTATCAAAAGGAGGTGCTGACCTCTTTGTTTCAGATGCCTTGTATGTTTCCTAAAGCCTCCTATCAAGGTGGGTTCACATAAATATCTGCAGCTACAGTGACCTAGAGACAAATTACAGCAGTTCACCCCTGTCATTTGTTTCTATTATTCCCTATGTGTAACATGTTCAGGGCAATATTGACACATTTATAAATAAACAATAATAGCCATCTTCCCTGGCTGGGAATTGACATACCACATTATCACTAAGTGCTGGAGGCGAATGCAGTATCGACTGTCTGGTACTCGGAAGATTAAAACTCATGGTTGCATAGTTTATAGACTGCAAACATTTGTCTCCTTTTCTGTGTAAGTGCGCTGTCTCATTTCCCCACAGGTTGTGGTTAGATTGTGAACCCTCAAGTCTCCAGTTGTCTCTCTTTAGCATAAAATTGCATCCTTCTGCACTTTGCGAAGTCCTTTTGAGCCTCCAAGTGTCAGGTGTTTTGGGTTTATTTTCTGTAAGGCGGAAATGTGTTCATATATTTTTCATCACGAGCTTCTGTTTCTCTCACTGCACCCTAACATGCCCCCCAGAGGTGGGTGTTCCTGTCACTAACATTGATGTATGTTTACGGTTCACTGTCCCCAGCTGCTAGTGGTATCATTTTGCAGTTTTATAATTGCATGGCGTGCTAGTATAACGCTTGTTCTTTTTTTCCTGTGCCGTGCCATTAAAAGGTAAATCAAACAGGAAGATTTCAGGGACTCTATTGTATTAGTAAGATAGTGCATTTAAAATATACAACAAACACAAGTAAAAATAAAGATGTTCATCTTCTGTATTTGCAGGGAGTTCTGTGCAGTCCAGGTAGTAGCTCAGCCAGTCAGTAGGCTCTCATTCTGTTCAGCGAAGCCTGAACTTGTCCTATAAACACCTGTCCAACAGGGGTTTATGGGATATGTAAATAAGTACTGGGCAGCAGTTGCATTGACATCTAATCCAATAGCAGCGCACTATACCTGCTGTTGGCCTTACAAGTTGCTACAGAACCTCTCAGGGAAGATAAGGATTTGTACAACACGTACACACTATAAATATTTGCATGGGCAGCATAGGTAGAATAACACCCTTTGACACCTAGTATAGGCACAAAGAGAGGGACAGGGGGCCTCCTAAACTATATAACAAGCATAAGAATTCCGTGACACTCCACACTTCCCTTCATTTTAGAATTTGGGGCGACAGATTTCTAGTTTTTAACATTTTAGTTGCAACCTGTATGTGTGTCAACTAGCAGTTTTGTGAAAATTAGCCTGACCGTGGATTTGGATCTCTGTCTGAATTTTGGTTCAAAAATAAATGTTTGAAACTGTTGCTAAACCAACAGGAAAATATGCTTTCTCAACTTTTTTAAGGGACGCTTGTGAGGGCAAAAAAATTTCCGATTCCACTTGCATATGGTCTGTTTCTTCATGTCCATCTGGGTTTCAGTAATTAACCTATTAATACTGAGCAACTGCTCAATGCAATGTAATAGATGTTGAACAGCAGTTCCTTTCCCCACACAATATAAATGTTAGTTATTCACTACATTTACATAGGTGTTCGGAGGTCAGCTTACCGATCTTTTCTACCTCTCTAAAGGAGCAGTCCTGCCTCAGCAATATGTAATTTCTGTAAGTTCTGTTAAACATTACAAAGACAAATCATAATGCAGGCATTGATGTAACTCCTGCCAAAAAGTCAGTCGTGACTTGCAAAAACAAACCATTGGCGCTGATTTAGAAGATTTCTGTAATACATTTTAAAAAAATGACCCTTTCTATAGTAATTTGCCAAAAAAGGAACATATTGTTTATTCATTATTGGTTTATGCTCCCCTCCCTCCGCACCCTCCCATGCACTGTGTTAGAAGCCTCACAAGGATTTCAGTCTTTGCATGGCTGCCAGTGAACTGACAGGCATATATTTTACCTGAGATTAAGAATCACTGGAGGGTTTCATAGTGAAGACTGCAATTTAGGAAGGGGAAAGCAATTACTGGGCAAAAGAGAGATCAGTCTGTTCCTCTCTCCATCACACTGTATCTGTTAACTGCTGGGCTTGTTTTTCACGGGCTCACTGGTCCCGAGTGCTCAGCCATCTCTATATTGGAAGTTTTGCTAAAATATAACTGAGTGCACTGCCTTCAGTTGCTATCACACTTTAGTGGCTTACTATTTACTCAGCTTAAAAAAAAAAAAAAAAAAAAACTTATGTGTGTATATGTATGATATGTAAATAATGTGATGCATATTAAGAAATTATGGTCCATCTTGCACACAGTAATTCTGAAATATCCCAGAATTCCCAGCTTGACATGGAAATCATAAATCGTGAATAGGACTCATGTTTCAGATTTTGTCCTGCATTTTCTGCAGGCACCCTAAACTGTGCTGAAATGTAGATTGGAGTGTGAAATAGAACATGTAGATGATGCTCAACAGTATAATTTTGAATTACAATTCATGCATTTATAAACGTTAACCTTCCAAGATGTTTAGGCTCTGTTGTCAATGATGCACAGTTTTGCTTATCTTGTTTATTCTTTTTCCCAAATGTAGAGAGGAAGTCCAGGAAAACTGCGTGCGTTGGAACAAGAAGCTGACCTTTGTCTGTAAAATGAGTGCCAATCCGGCAACTGGTGTGCTGGACCCCTGCATCTGCCGAGTTTCTGTCCGCAAGGTAAGCTTCTCTCCTGCAGATGTCATTGGCTTTGGTCAGCAGTGGGCAATCTTGAGACTCCAGATGTTTGTGGCCTACATTTACTTCTAGATGTTAAAGTGGCACTGCCGTCTAGGGACTTCACATAATTTGCGCCGGGAGCCAATATCACTTCTGTACTCTCCCACATGCGCAAGAGTACAGCATTGAGGTCTATGATGCAGCTAATATCTCTGCAGCCATCACTGTTGTTGGCTATGAGGTTGACACTTCAAGATGGCAGTGTCAAAGTAGTGGATGTGGGGTGACAGTACCACTTTAATATTTGTGCTTTGTACTCTTTCCTTATGTCAACTATATATTTCATACTGCACCCATTTTTTTTTATTCCATATCCTTTTATTTTTATTCTAATTTATCCTTAGTCTATATTTAAAATTTGCCTGCTTGCTGGTTTTATTCTGTGCATGTTATAGTTTTTTAAGCATTTCTAATAAATATTGATTTTGAGAAACAGACGCATTCTGATTGCTTAGTGCTTGTATGTGTTACCTGCTTGCACTGTTTAATTCTGTTCAGACAGCACTTTGTACACTATCATTGGGATCTAGCACCATAAGTTGGAATCTAGCACCATAAGTTCTTTCTGTGATGCTATTAGCTGCATGTGGGATGCATTGTATGCAATGCTTTGCGTGTGTGATTGTGTGGGCTGTGCTGGTATAGGGCAAAGAGCTGGATATGCACTGCATGCAGACCAAATTTAACTGGCGCAGCGATCTTGCTTGCAAACCTTTCTTCCTGTGGCTCAGCCCTGCATAACAGCTGTAACATTTGGTGACGTGAAGTTCATGATGTTTACTCTGCCTTGTCACAATGGAAATCATAATCTATCTTTTCCTGTTACAGGAACTCAAGGGAGGAAAAACCTACTCAAAGGTAAGAGAGGAGGCTATTAATCACTCACATCCATATCAGTCTCCTCACTATACTCCATACAGGGAAGCTGCAATATACATCTTTATACTAAAGCCATACAGGGGGACTTTGTTTTGAATGAGGGACAGATGATGAATATTTAATATAATTTGTCATCAACAATGATGTACTTACCTGGAATTTAGTTTATGGTGTCGTGACGAAGGAGAGCATGGCGCTGCACAGATGTTGTTTCCAAATTATATCTCATTGTTACTGGCCCAGTATCCCCACTTCCTTCCATCCTGATAAGAAATTCACAGAAATTAAAGGCAGTAATGATAGGATGCTCTTTCCTATGCTTCTTTTCTGAAGTCAGGTCATTATTTTTTATTTGTTTTTGCTTTGCGTAGACCAGCATTATGTATAGTGGAAAGGTTTTGGCATATAAAGTGCCATCATGGTTTACATGTGTGGCAGCTGATGGCATACATGTGAATGCAATATCACACCATTCAGTATACATCCATGTCCGATTGTAATTCTATCTTTAAAGATGTACAATGAGAAAGCATCACTATGTGGTAATTGTAATGTTCACCATTCTTTCCGCATTAAGAAAGGTAATAGCGGACTTATTGTTGTGTAAATTCCTAGGGTGCAATTCTGGAAAAAGAACAAAATACAGGTTCCGCACATTATGAGTTTGTTGTAAATTAAAAACACGAAGATCAGAGGAATAGAGAGAGAACAGTGGGGTCAGCAGCTTCAAGTAGGAAGCATAGGGTAGAGCATCCTTTTCACAACTCTGGCAGGAAACTCATGGAGGAAGGGGCCAGGAATGGAAGTGGAGACGCAGTGCCAAAAACAGCGTGACGCAGGATAGAACTGGCGTGAGTGCTTAACGGGGCATGGGGCAGACATTTATAAAGCACCCCACAACCCTTACATTAAAACCTTCTGAATACATGTATTATAAACAGGGAAAGCCACGAACATTTCACCTTAACAGGAACTTAAAACATTGATTTTAGTACAATAGCCGCATTGTTTTTTTTTTTTTTTATAAGGGTATTGATACGTATGTATTATTTTAGCTCACAATATGCATGAAAAAAAGAGGACTCTTTAAGTACCCTAGAATAAAGCTGTAATACAATGTAATAGCTGCATTGTAAACAGTGTTTTACAAAAGCAGTGAAATTGACACACATTCTGTAAGGAAGTCCATTTTTTTTTTTGTCTCTACTAAATAATATACATGCTTTTTGTGCTCTAACCATGTTCTTTTTCTATATCTGTGTTCTAGCTGGGCTTTGCTGACCTGAACCTGGCCGAGTTTGCAGGCTCGGGCTCCACCGGTCGCTGCTGTCTACTTGAAGGATATGATACAAGGAACACCAGACAGGACAATTCTATACTGAAGGTAGCTATGCATATCCACTTGTTTCTTGTCATTTCTCTGACCCTCGGTCATGTAAATCTCCCATGCTTTCTGTACTCCTTCAGCATAATCTCATATCAATTTCAACTTTCATTGTCTCACAAACTGTCTTCCAATTCCCAATCCCAGCTTCTGCCTGAAATATTGCCTGTCTCTTACTAGCTCAGCACTCTCCTGTTTCTGTCACTGTCTTTTCAATCAGCCCTCTGTCTCCTTGTGCCTCATTCTCCCTGAACATTGTTGTTGTGCGCTTTTACCCTACATCGCTTTCTCCCACCTTACTCCCTAACGGTCTGCTCCTACTGCCTGACCCTAACCTTTCTGTTACTGGCTACCCCATTGTAATCTCAACACTTCTTTCTGTCAGGTCACCATTGGGATGTCTCTTCTCTCCGGAGACCCCTGTTTCAAAACGTAAGTGTTCCTGATTGGCGACATTTGTTATTTAATTCTGCCAGTTACGTTGAATTCATCCATTTTTTTGGGGGGGGGTCAGTGAAGGAACCTAAACCATGATAAACAAAGGCAAGCACGGTCAATCTAGTGTCTTTAACTCCTTTTACTGCTAGAGTAGCACTTAGTACATAAGTGAAGAGTATCCACGGGTATAGTTTTTAAAAATGCAACAATTGCCACAGACACTGATTGTTTTATTTTAATTTTATTGTTTTATTATTTTTGTTTATTTTTTGAATCTGTAAACTATTTCTTCAACTCTTCTCCGGTTGCATATTGTTACTGTGTCAGACACGTAATGTGTTTAAATCTATAATGCACAAATTACAAGTATTCACTTGTTATATATACCTTTTACTCTGTGTCGATTTCAGACATTAAATTACAGGGTAACTGACACCAATCTTCACTTCCTTTTTGTGTTACTAATGACTGACAGGAATTTACATTCGATCTCTCTCACCTGCTTTTTAACCTTTTTCTTTTGCAGACCTCTGTCAACAGCCAAAACTGTGTCAGCTCCAGGACAAGACTCCACTCTACAGATGACCTGCAAAGGTGAAGGTACTGTGCGTTCTGTTAGTGGCACAGTTCGCCAGAACCGGAGTCGACACATACTCAGTTCAGGTATGATGGCTTTTTCTACGTGCAATTCTCTGAATAAATGCCATCAGTGTAACTACTGTAGAATAAAAGCGTGCCCATGTGGAGACCTCCTTATCTTTTGTTCTTATTATTCCAGGGGTATTTGACGAGGCAGACCAAAATCTTTCAAGCCCAGAAGAGACCTCACATTCTGGCCATTCTCGGAACTCCAGCCAGGCTAGTCAGCAGTCCAAAGTATCAGGTAATTAGAATGTTGCCCTAAATTATACTTTTTTTTTTTTTTTTTTTACTCTTTCTGGCAATGTGAAATTAGGCAAGAATAATTTCTGTTACTAATTAAGCCTATTATTCCGTGGAGCTGTCCTTTTGGGTTAAAAGCTTAAATATACTGGATTATTTAAAGTGTGTTTCAAATCTAAGGCAAAGTAGCTGCACAGAAACATTCTACCAAGTTAGCTATGCTCCCAGTTTGGGTACTAGGGCCTTAAATTTAACAACAATCCTCACCGTGGTAAATAACCCTGATAAACCTGACCTCTATCTTTACTTTAATTATTTATAATCTCTTCACAAATCATTTACTTAATTTCATTCTTCATTAAAATTCTACTGCACTTATTTATCATCTTTCTGTGAAGGTGTAGTGCCTTCTAGCAGTCAGTCTCAACCTTCAATAGTTGTCAGAAAAGCTGTTGCCTGGTATTCATTCTTCAATGCAAAATGCTTACTCCAGGCTGCATTTACCTCCCTTCCTTTTTGGGGTATTCCTTTTTAATTGAAATAAAGGGAGGAACATTATACTACATTCATAGCAAAGAAACTGATTGAACACACACACATCTGAAGGGGAGGTACAGTTTAGCATTAACCTCCATTATTGCATTGAATAAATGATGGGTGAGTGTTGGCATTTAATAACAGCTGTAATAACTGCACGGTGGTAAAAATTGGATGGGCAGAGGAAATAAGCCTAAGGGCTCACAACTCTAATAATTGAGGATAAAGCAATGGCGAAGGATGACTCCACATGCCTGAAGCTAATTTTTAGATTCAACTCCATATATAGTGACTTGTCCTGGAAACAGTAATCGGCTAACATCCCACAGCCAATCGTAGTCCTCCAAATTATTGCCCATAGACTTCTATGAAGTAGAGTGTTTAATACATTTGCAGTTGATGTCTTTCTTTCGGAAATTGTACAGTGTGCAGCAGACAGGGCAACTTTTATTGAATTGTGCAAGTAGCTCTTTTCATGTTTTTCACAAATGAATATGCTTGCTATTGGGCCTGTCACACACTTGCACGGCTGCTTGATAAGAGTGAGTGTTGCATATCCTGTTAACCACTCCATGTAGCACAGTAATTCATCAGATGGATTATTCTACTAGCCCATAGTGTCCTTTTATTTATTAAAAGATCTGTACAGTAGTATTGCCTGTTGTGTTTGCACCTGCATTATTCAGTGTAGGGTTTATGTCTCCAGGTCACAGTTCTGAACACTCCCGCTGCTCCAGCATGTCCGACTTGACTCATAGACGCAACACATCTACCAGCAGCAGTGCATCTGGGGGAATCATCCTCACGGCTGAGGGACAAGAAGGAGAGCGGGAAAACAAGCCAGAGAAGCCACCGCGGCCTCTCAGACCGCCCATCAACCTAGACCGGCATTCCAGGTAGAGTATGATCAGCATGCTGGAGTCAGGTCTCTCAAACTGGTATTAACTCCTGTGGTGAAAGAAATCACAAGTAACGACGGCATGGCTCTCAACCTCAGTACCTTGGTACCTGTAGTATTGCAGAGACTTTGGAGTCTTCTAACTAAGAACATTTGGCACATTTTATTAACATCTGTGTGCTTATAAGATCCACCAATGCTCATCATTGAAGAGATCATTAAATCCGCTGCAGGGCTCTGTTTCTGGTTTACCCCAAGATTAAGCAGAGAGTACCAACAATTTTGTGCAATAATATTTATTTTCAAGATTGTGTTTATAAATGTGTACGTGCATGATCGTTGTGGTTGTACCTGCAATGTTGAGACATCTAAGAATATGCAAAAACACTTCTACATCTTGCTGTGACTATCTGGTCATCTTCTAAAGCCTCTGTGACTCTACCACACACTTGGCATGTGTCATTTGGTTTCCAGAAAGGATTTGCTTAAATGTTTAGTGGCCCTATGGATACATAATCACTATTTTGTTTTAAAACTGCACTGATTGCCTTATAAAATCTTAAAGTGTTTTTGCAGATGTTTGTGCCACTGACTTTGAACGCAGAGACAACAAAACAAAGTCTGTCTTTCAAATGTCAAGTTAGTGACAGGGCTGTGAGTGTTCATCTCGGCTTTGAGCTACTGTGCGGAATATATGATGTGGCGCAGCCCAGCCTGAGTCATACGGGGAGTTTGGATCATCTTTCTCTAGGTTCTGTTGCCAATTTCTGATGACACAGAACAACTCGTGACTTTACAGCTTGGCTTAGACTGATAATCACATCAACGTTGCTTAGACTTTCCAGACAATTCACAACTACTGACAGATTGCTGCTAATATAAACATTTGCCATCAAACACCATTAATGTCTGAAATTTATTTAGTACGTTATTGAACTTTTGGATACTTCAGATATATTCCGTGGAGTATAAGAACTTAGATTCAATCTTGATACCTCTTCTTTTAATTATATGGACCATTTTGCAAAACTCTGTTTAAGTATGTTATAAAGGGACTGATTTTCACATACCAACCTAATGTGGTGAATGTTTGAACAGCGTGCGTTAGTATGGCGCCAGACAACACCATTGATTTCCATTAACAATTTGTATTAATTGAGAACGAAATCGAAAATGTTGGAATGATTTAGAAAATGTTATACATGCCATGACTAAAGCAAGTTTAAGTCTGCAAATCGGTTTAACTATGCATTGCCCAAACATTGATTTAACAACTGTATAGCAGCTATGTTAAATACATTTAACCTATGATTCTGAGCTGGTCATACTGAACGGTAAGCAAAGGCCACAAGGTGTGTCTGTTTGTCATTCATCATCCTTTGCAGTCCCCAGAAATGACTGGTTCTCAGGTCACACAGTAAAGGATTCTGGGAAAACTGTCAGTTTGGGAATCCCAGCTATAAACGGAACAGAGGTTAAAACTGTTCAATTGCAAAATATTTGCTGACCTACACATTTGCAATGATTTTGATTATGCGTGTTTAGTGCAGCTAGCTGTGTCTTGGTTAAGTCTACATTGAGCCCTTGCTGTATATCCATTTGTAACCCCTTTGTTATTTGTTTTTGCCTTCTGTACAGGAGAAAGAAGGACTCTGTGGAAAGTCACCCTACTTGGGTGGACGACACCAGAATCGATGCTGATGACATCGTGGAGAAGATCATGCAGAGTCAGGACTTTACTGATGTCAGCAACAATGAAGGTAAAGAGGAGAAATTTGTGTTCTGGAAGAAAGACTGAGAGATTGGTGGGGAGGGGAGTCAGCAGACCCATACACCCACAAGTAGAAGTTAGAACACTGGCCAGATTCAAATGTGGTTCTGTGCTCCGGTGCAAGAGTCTGCTAACCTTCCAGTTCCTGTGCAGCACTGTTAATGTGTCCTGAATATAAATTACATGGGTTACTCTACTGTGCCGCTTGAAATCTGATTTCTAGTGCACTGAGGAATGAATGATATAAGAGGACAGAAGAACTGATGGAGATATAGGTCAGGATTTTATACTTCAGTCTCTGTGTCTATATCAGAGTTAATATTTGTATATACTAGACTGATCCCACTCCATGGGGGGAAAATGTCAATTTTTAAAAGGAAAAAAAGCATTTGTTTCCCCCACAGATCTTTTGTGTTTACCCCATATCACCAAAACATTCCATCTCTATCCTCTGGAAAATACCTCACCTAGCTTTGTAGCTACCCACGTAGAATTGGCTTTTGCTCCACTTCTTTCCTCACCCTAATAGACACAAGAATCCTCTTGTACCTGGAACATATCCAGTGTGACTGTTACAGGCTGCAGAGATTACTGTCAGCAGCTTCATAAATGTGGAATCAGGGAGCATGGAAAATGGCCAAAAAATGCAGGTGTTTATCACACAGACCACAGAAAGTATAGTTCAGAAACCAGTTTGCATTTATGTCTTGTGCCTTGTATTCAGAACTCTACATCAGGACTTAATGAGTCCCAGGAGCCAGAGATACATGGATGCTAAGAATATGGTTGCATATATATATATATATATAATATATATATATATATATATATATATATATATATATATATATATATATATATATATATATATATATATATATAATATATTACTTTTTGTATCTTCAAGAAAGACAATGAATAGAAAAGCTTACTAATGATGGTGCGGGGAATAAAACGAATGAAATGGAAATAAAAGAGAGGTGAAAAAAGGGATGCTGCAAGTTTAGGTGATAGGCTTAATCCACCCTCGACATGTTGCACATTAAAACATCTGTTCAAAAATGTAAACAAGCACTACAGAAAACCATATGCTTATTGGTTAAAAATATCTACAAAAGACCAACCAACGTAGCTTATTATAAAAATATGATTAAACCGTTTATTCATAGTCCATCAAAAGCCAATCAAATTGATAAAACTGCAATTTGATAGATTGATAAAACAAAAATTACAAAAAAAAATAAGCAGTATAATTTTTTAAATATACTACAATTTAATTTCGATATTAGCTTCTTGTGTATTTTTTTCTATATATTTAATGCATTTCCTCTCAGCTCATGTAGCTTGTCATTTTTTCTTTTAGATAGTCACCTGAGACTGTTTGTGAGCAGAGATGGATCCACCACATTAAGCGGGATACAGCTGGCCAACAGGTAAAGCAGACACAGACTAAATGTTCTAGTGATCCGTAAGCCTTGCGTAACTTTAATAACTTCTTACATTTAAGTCCAGCACTTGTGTCTCTATACAGTATTTATTTAAACACACGTGAGACTTTCCTATAATGTCGAAACAAGAGAAAAAAACTGCAATGCAAACAATATAGATGATTTTTTTATTTATAGCAGCAACATAATGTTATTTACAAAACAATATATTAGTACAATATCGCTGTTTATGTTAATAGACTGGAAATGCCACATTGGTCCGTAGTTAACTCTTCGTTCACGGTCTTTCCAGCCTCGTATTATTTTACAATTGTTTTAGTACTGTATCCCAGGACATATCCTTTACATTTGTAAACCACACTGTACTTTCCACTGAAAATAATTTCTCTTTATCTGATCTGGTCTCATCTTATCACCGAGCTGTTGCAGTTTCAGGTGCACAACATCACTCCAGATTACATTAGGATGTCAAAACTCCATGCCCAATCAATTTTTTTTTTTTTTTTTTTTACAAGACAGATTCTTAGTTCTCTCTGGAACAGAAGTGTTCCCTCTCTCTCTTTATGAATTATGAGCTTTGCTAGACATTTGCCCTAGTGACTTCTTCCCTCTGTGTGTGCTGATATTATACAGCTTGTCGCATTCCATTGGCTGAAAAAAAAAGTTTTTTACAAGATTCCCATGGGAAAGTCCACTGGCTTCCCCTAGCCTAAAACAACAGCTTGTTTTCTGAACACCTGGGCAGTTTAAACCTTTTCAGTGCCGAAGGGGGCAGGCAGTTATTCTTAAACGTTATAGGCATGATAAGGAGAGAAGAAATATGATTCAGATATATAAATGTAGGCACAGAGGCCAGGATATACACTTTAGACTGTGACTGTTTGAGTAAATACTAGTTACACCCATAAACACACAGCCTTTTGATCCGTTGTGTATATTTTACCCAATATTCTGCATATGTGATAAGGATTTTTTACACACACAAGAATTTTTTTTTTAAAACATGTTTGTAGCTTTGGTTTATAATGATGCCTGAGATATTGTGGCGATATATTTGCTTGGGCACATATTTGTCAATCAATCCATACATTTGTTAGCTGTAAGATGTGCATGAATGTATTGATGAAAGGCAGTCCGGTTTGTTGTGAAAGTTGGATCACAAAACCATTTTCATTTCTGCAAATTTTTTGCTACTCCTGTTCCAACTCGTCACAACATAACTTTTTAATGAAGGAACCCCTATGTGAGGCTAGTATTGCTTAAATCGCTGATCCTTACATTCTTTATCTTTTCCCTCTAGGATTTCTGCAGGAGTCTTTGAGCCCGTGGTGATTGAAATCCATTAAATTGTCACCATGCTGGTAACCAGTCCCAGGATCTGAGCCAAACTTTGCCATTCCAGGCCGCAAAGCTGCGAGATGGGAAGAGGCAGAACACATCGTACAGTCTAGGGTTCAACTCTCCTCCTTATCCAGTTGATATGCATGACTCCTTCATGTTCCTGCAATCCAGTGTGTGTGACAGCAATTCCCTCTGCTTTTAATCACTGTGAATCTAACCAGGCCTCTGACAAGAGAGCCCCTGACTCCAGATGCTCAGCATTCCAAGCTCTTCTCAAAGCTCCTGGCCACTAACCTAGCATCCTTTACAGAGCTGAGTGAAGAAACGGAAAAAAGGCCAAGGCATCATTTCTCTGCATGTCGCTTTGAGCAAACTCTTTTCCTACTCTTTGTATGTCCTTCTAAACCCTTCTGGTCCAACGGTGCTCAGTATTTGCCTCTGGCACTAAATGAGTATATTTCCTGCTCATCACGAGGTTGTAGATAAAGGAAGCTCTATAAATTCAGATAGTCAGATGTTTCGAGTGTAACCAGTTAATAATGTGATTCATTTTATCAAGAGGTATAATTCACTGAAACAGCAAGGCAACTTTCTAAATGAACATTAACACATTCCCTTAATTAGTATTTTTTTTTTACTGTTGAAATCCAACCTATTAAGGGTATGATTTTGTAGGTGAACAAATCACCTTTATTTGCTGGTACACCCTTTCTTAACTAGAAATTGGCTAATTGACGCACTGCATTGATTACTCTGGGCAGGAGTAGGTAGATTGCTAAGGACCGTCATTGGATAAAACACAGATCTGTCTTTTGGCCTTACCTGGCTTAGGGCATTGGAATCAACTTTTAGAGTTCCAGTTTTGATGAACCACATCTCCCATGATGCTTTGCCACTCCAATTCTTGCATAGATTTGTGACACTTGTTGTTCACTAAAAGCCTGAACATTAACGATTGCCTACTCCTGGCTTAGAGTGAACCGAGATCCAGGCTTGTATTGGCAGTGCAATATTCCTAGATCTGCAACCTCAGAAAATACATTTAGTTATGAGCCCATTATTCCCAAAGGCTATTCGTAATTTTCCTGCTTTCTCTTTTTACACGGTACCATTCCTTTCTTCTGCATGGTCAGGCATAGTGAATTTCTCCTGGGTCCTTATCCATACCACAAAAACTACAGAAAGAAGTCAGTGCAGAATAGAAATTTATCCCTACAATATGATGTGTTAAAACAGCTGGACTGTTAAGGCAATAAGGCACCCTCTGGAAGGGTCAGTAGAAAACAGCTGGTCTGTAGACTCCCTCAGGAAGGGAGTCATATAACGCAGCAGGTCTGTATGTAGCTCTTAAGGACTCCTCCGGTAGGAGCAATGGGACACAGCTGAGCTGTGGAAATCCTTAAGAAAACAAACGTAGCAGCGGGACTGTGAAAGGGTACAAACTCAGGAGCAACACAGCTGGACAGTGAAACCCCTACAAACCTCCAAAATCTCTGGTCAGACGAGGATGGTTTGCCGTTTCTGTACTGGAATCTTTCTGCATGACATTCCACTAAACTAAAGACCCAAGAGACTTATGATCAGAGGTCAGCTGTGCAGGTCGCAGTTCCTGTCTTTCAGATCCTCCTTCTATTCTCACCTTGACCATTCGCACTGTCGCACTGGTGAAGACTGCACAATTCAAAACCCAGCAGGCTGGTGTTTTTTTGTTTTTGTTTTTTTTTTTAAATTTCATTTCTGCATTTTAATCTAGAGTTTCAGTATGACCTTGTCCTCTTTGTGAAACCGTCCTTGTGGAGCTATCTGGTGCTCGGGGCAATTTTGTTTAACTGTGTGTTTGTGTTTGCTGTTTTTTTGTTTTTTTTCTGAATGATATTATTGTCAAGGAAAGCCAGACTTCTTGTCGGAAAAAAAAAAAAAAAAAGAGTTCAAATGAATGCACGTAGAGTCCCACTCGGGATCTTGGCCCCGTTTCATCCATCATTGATAATTATTGATATGTACACGGCCAACAAGAAATTGTTCTTACTACACAATCTTCCATTGATTGTCATTCCAAAATGGTGTCCTAGCTTATATTGATTGCAAAATGTTTTTGTATTCATTTTTTTTTAATGTAAAGATGAACAACGCATTTTACTGTGCGTGCACCTTGGGTTCTCCAGGAATTAAAGTAACTGTAAAGGAACACGTGTAGAGAGGGGTAACAATCCTGCTTCCCCTCTATTGTTCTGCAGTAAGACCACTCGTTCTGAGCACTTTAACAATTATATGTGGTGCAGGGATATTAATCTTGTCTTTAATCCACACGTTATTTTTGTGGGGGCATGGGTAAGCAGCATGATATGATAATAAGAATTTTTGTTTTAAATAATTTTTCCCCTTCTTATTAATTGTATTGATCCCATTAACTTGAGAAGCGTGTGATATTCAATCCTTTTTGCTCCGAAAGGTTTCTAAATATGTTCTAATGAATCATAGCACTTGTGGGGTTTTACCAAATATCCCCCTCTCCCCCTCCTCCTCCAAAAAAAAACCGTCAATGCACCCCCTACTACTTTTATCAAAAGTTTATTGTGAAACACAAAGGGTTAATGTCCGGATTAGATTTTGTACTGGGTGTTAAGTTCAGGATTAATTTGCTTAATTGAGCAGGGTTAAAAATAACCTAATTATCGGGGTGTGTTGTTTAGCGATTACAGCAGTTAAGCAGTCTATTACGCCATGCTTCCTTGTCAGTGCAAGGATGTACAACCTTTTATCTTTGCATATCCTTTAGGGGCCAGCATAGGTTATTGCTGCAATCTTTAAACTGACTTTTCTGCCACTGAGGAAATGCTTTAATAAAAATTATTTAATACTCTTCAAGCCACGCATACAAATAAAAACATTCTATGTTAACTCCTTTGGCTCACAGTAAAAAAGGAGAAATAACTTGCGACTGCTGATAAACGGAAAGAAAAATAATAATAAAGTTGTAGGTTAACCTTGTTGGCAACATATAGCCATCCAGCACGTGGGTGAACAGTAAATGGGGTTACATGTTCTGCACACGAGGTTCACATGTCGGCTAGCTGTCACAGCAGCTGGGATTTCAGAGGCTTTTTTATGCCTCTCTGTCACTTAAAAGATTAAACCTGGTGAATATTTAAAATAATTTATTTAAGCCCTGCAGAGGACTGTGTTTGTTGGAGTATGGATATGATGCTCTGTAACTTTTATTGAGCCGAGCATAGGGTGCTATTTGTCAATTGTTGATCTGTTAATTGGTCGACCTATACTGTTTTCTTGCCACAATGCGTAAAGAAGGAAATCCACATTAAATTCAGTCTGTTGGCAGACACACCAGAGGGTAATCTAGCATAATAGGTAACTTTTCTCAGGACGTTATGGTCAAACTATGAATTTGGGTTTAACCAAACTTCATTCTACTCACACGAAAAACTAAACAATGCATCTGAATATCCCAAATGGATTTAAAATGGTTGGTACCCCAGATATACATCAAAACATGCTTCTTGGTCTCCATTAAGGAATACATATTATGTAAAGCGCACATATCTCCAAATTAGCACATATCGCCAGATTCGCACGTTATTTTATTCGATTGTTTTTTTCACACATTTTGGAAACTGCAAAAAAAAAAAAAAACCTCAAAGAATATATTTAACTTGCACAATGGCATGTTATAATGTAAGAGTGTTTGTTTTTTTCCTTAATATTTTTTTAGTGGGGGGATTTAAAGGAAAATCACACTTTAGTAATTTTTAATAAATTACTTAATCACATTCACACCGTAGAGGGAAATATATATAGTTTTCCATTAAATCTACTAACTGAACTCACAACATCCCTATTTCATTTTTAGCTTTAAGATGTGGTGCCCAGACATATACTGCTGACGGGGATGTACAATTGGCCCTTTGCTTTTCAGTAGCAGTTAAGACTTTATGTACAAGTCGTTCTAAAGTGAACATTTTTGAAGCACTTCCAGGCCAGTAAGACTAACTGGTTTTTTTTTTTTATGTATTTTTTTATGATGCTCTATAATAAGACATCTAGACGTTTGCATATGTTTGATTTTTGTTTTTACAGAAATGTATTTTGGTTATTCCTAAATTCATACATAAGTTTGAAGAAAAAAAAAAAGGAATGCTATTTTTTAATTCTATTTTTCCAAACTAAATTTAAAAGTGACCAGTAGAAAATTACAATAAAATATGTTTATATACTCAGATGACTAAATATATGCAGATGATATATCGATAAAATAAAGCTATTTTTTGCAAGGGAATCATCCAAATGTGCAAATTATTCAGAATCGTTTAAGCAAAATTTTGGGGACTATATTTTTATTTTTTTCAAAGCTCAGAACGGCACATTTCATTGTTCTTATTTCTCGCCTGTTCGAACTGTTAATGTAATTTTGTCCTCTGATTCTTGCTGTTAATGTGTGATCAGAGATCGATGGCATTGGGAAGAGGTGTGAGCAAAATAAAGAGTTCTTTTTGTTAACGCACCTGTTGTAATTTATTTGCATATTCTTAATTGCATTGGTTGAAGTATTAACTTCGCTGTACACACATTTTGTAGTGTATACAGCCGGTGACTGACCTATTGGCTGGGTCTGGAATGAAAACTGTGATGTGAGCTAACACTGACCCTCATTTCATCATATGTCTGTTTGTTTGCACTGGTAGGGATATTCTGAAGTCTCAAAATTTGTACCTTCTAAAGATAGATCCTCAAGAAATGCCAGTGGTCATGCATTTTGATATCACTAAATTCTAAAGGCCTGCCTTTACGTAGGGTGACTGCGATGACCTTTGTGAGTGCACACACTCCTCCTCTCTTCGGCCATGTGGCCCAAAGCGATCTTGATCTAGTCAAGGTGCGGAGATATGAGGTGCTCTTATAACTACATGGTTACGCCTTGTTTTATTCAGATATGCTTCATGCCTCATAGCGACAACAAGAGATTTGTGCTGCACAAATGCAAAAAACAAACAAATGATTTGAGAAAAACCTGAAGGACTGCATCCAAAATACTCCTTACACTATACCTACTACAATAAACTGTAGGGTTTATGGTACTTGGCATACTCTAACGTAAAGTATTTAATATACAGATAAACATTCAGTATGGATGTACATCATCCGTTACAAAACTTTTGTGGTTGATTACTAAACATTCCATCTAGGAGGTTTTTTTTTTTTTGGTTTTTTTTAAAAACGCATTTCACAATTAGGAAGGGTTCATTAAATATATTTATCTTTAAAAAAAGATAAAGTATTAATGCCGTTGTTTGGGTTTTCAATAGAGATATCATGAGCTTAAAGTCCATCTTTTATCTTTTTCGGTTCAATTATAAAATGTAACTGAAACTGCCAGCAAAGCAAAATATGAGATTCTACTTTCCAGATGTTTCTATTAAAGAAAACTGATGTTCAGATGAAGAGTGTCACAGGTCCCTTTGGCAGGACAGGTGGACTTTACGTTCGGAGTATCTGATATTTTATTCCAGACAGCACCCCTATTTGTAAATTTTCTGTGGTTAAATTTACAATGTGGTATATTTATTATAAATGACCTTTTAATTGCCTTGTGTTGTTGGCAACGGTAGTTAACACACACATCTGCATACCTTTGATACGCCACACCTATGGAAGAACTATACATACATGTGGTACTCTAAAATAGCTTCCAGTACAAAGCACATTCAGTCTTTGTCTGTACACTTCACCTTATTTATTACGGACAGAGCCATGAAACCTGTTATGATCATTGTAGCTGTAAAACAAGCATTCATCTGTCACGTATCGAGTGAACATGGCTTATCAGCATTAGGTAGACTCTCTAAGCCAGGGGTTCCCAATGAACTTTTCCCGTGAAACCCTTTCACATAGTGTATCAACATCATGGAACTTCCCCTCTCCCAATTTTGCGTTGTTGCATAAACCTGATGGTCAAATCACAGCGGAACCCCAATTTTGTTCTTGCGAAACCCTAGGGTCCCGCGGAACACTAATTGGGAAATGATGCTCTAACCAGCCATTTGTATATGCCCTGAATAAATGCCCAACTCTACTTGTCTGATCAGGTGGGCTCTATAGGCATAACCTACATCATTACTTTGTCTTTCTGTTACCAACTCAAGAAATGAGGTACACCATCTATAGCATCTTTCTAAGTCAAGTGCCTTTTGCCCCCAGAGTTCAAATCCCTTTCCTTCCCCAGTCGCTCCTGAATTCATGTACCCATGTTCCTCTCTCTTTTTCCCTCTCAATTTATGTCCCAAAGCTTTGATTGTGTGTGTGTGTGTGTGTGTGCGCGCCTTACGACATGTAGATGGATGATTGTTGGTTTATCGATTATGAACTCCCAAGACTTGTAGGGTAGATTTGCACAGCACACCTTTATTGGATGTGAGTTAATGTGCTTAAAGTGTAGTTTGGAATTTTATCCCAATTTGTTCACATAACAAACAAAAGAAATGCAAAGGGGATGTAAAACAAAGCAGCCTTTTTTACACTCTGACACATTAAATAATCTAGGCTCATTATAAAGTGCACGTTTCTGTTTTAAAATGGTTGGCGCTGTTTTTTGTTTGTGATGTTTTCAATGTTAGGATATCAAAATGCAGCATGTCCTCCATGTCAAATTTGTTAATTTCCTACGCCATCGTGGCTTCTCTGGAGCCGCTTTCTCCCATGCCCTTCCAAATGTCTTTCTCTTTCGAGAACATGGTGCACATCCAGCACCAGAAATGAGGTACAGGAGCGATCTGGTCACCTTCAGATGTTCGAATGGAACGAAGACCACAACTTCCTAAAGAAATAGAGCATGTTAGTGTACGTCGATTGCCACACATCAGTTCATGCATTCGTTGATTTACCTTCCCACACAGTAAATATACTAATATCAATATACTCTACAGAATCAACAGCCCATGCCAAGTTATAATACTTAATTCACCATGTATCTACTATACCTTGAAGGACCAGTATAGTCACCCAATGAAGTGGTCTGAGTGCCAGGTCCCCCAGGTTTTAACCCTTCAGATGTAAACATAGCAGTTTCAGAGAAACTGCTATGTTTACATTGCAGGGTTAATCCAGCCTCTAGTGGCTGTCCTCCTGACAGCTGCTAGAGGCTCTTTCCTGATGTTCAAAAATCGCATTTAGCGTGCAGAACGTCCATAGGAAAGCATTGAGAAATGCTTGCCTATGGGCGTTTTTAATGCTTGCATGGCTCTGGCCGCGCATGCGCATTCGGCTCCACTCGGGAGCTGACGTCGGAGTGGGAGGAGAGGTCACCAGCGCCGAGAGAGCCCGGCGCTGGATAAAGGTAAGTGCCTGAAGGGGTTTTAACCCCTTCAGCCCAGCTGGAGGGGGGCCCTGAGGGTGGGGGACCCTAAGGATTATATAGTGTCAGGAAAACGGGTTTGTTTTCCTGGCACTATAGCGGTCCTTAGAAGAAATGCCACACTAAATGCTATAGAAATTCAGGACTATTCATCAAAGTTTGAATTGACTGTAAAGCGAAATTTTAGGACTTGTTAGAACTGGGAAAATTGGAAAACAATGTTTCAACTATGTTTCCAGTTAAGAAATGTCGGACTGAAATACACCAGGAAGAATACTAGCAGGGCTACTAACTCAGCAAGGAATTCTCAAGATTTATTTTTCTAATCCACACCTGAGCGATTTGATCTGTCCAGGATTTACCTGTGGAGTCTTCCTTGTACTTGGAATAATTCATGTGATCTCACTGGTGACAGAGGGAATCAGATATTTCTAGAGATAGAGAATTCTCTAAACTGGGAATTCAAAGAAATTGACTGGAGAGCCACTATCTGTAGGCAGAAATATATGAACTGGAAATAAAAACTTAAAGGACCACTATAGTGCCCTGAGGGTGCCCCCACCCTCTGGGTCCCACTCTAGCCGGGCTGAAGGGGGTTAAACACTCACCTTTCTCCAGCGCCGGGCTCGCTCAGTGCTGGGGACTCTCCTCCCTCTTCTGACGTCACCTCTTCTGACGTCATTCTCAGTGTTTTCCTATGGACGCTGGCGTCTTCTCACTGTGAAAATCACAGTGAGAAGCACGGAAGCGCCTCTAGCGGCTGTCAATGAGACAGCCACTAGAGGTGGATTAACCCACAGTTTCAAAGAAACTTATGTTTACAGAACCATAGACAGGATGCCTAAATGGCCGCCCCTCCAATAGCTCTTTTTCTATAAGTGTTGTGTGTGGTGGCTGCAGGGCCGGCCTTAGGGGTGTGCGAGCTGTGCGACCGCACAGGGCGCCATGGAACAGGGGGCGCCCTGTGGCCGACACAGCTCACTCATGGCCGGAGTGCAGGGGAGCTAAAAGAGGTACCTGGCTGGAGGATTAATTATTCTCCACCCGGGTCTATTTAAAAAAAAAAAAAAAAAAATCGCGGCAGAGGGGGCGGGGTTTACCGAGCGGCGGAGGCGGGGCTTATCGAGAGGCGGAGACGGGGCTAATACCTCCCGAAGCCCCTGCTGTACAGGAAGAGGGAAAGATGCTTCCCCATCAGCCAACTGCATCCACTGGAAAGAGGTAAGTGTGTGTGTGTGACTGTTTGCCTGTTTGTGTGACTGTCTGTCTGTGTGTGTGTGTGACTGTCTGTCTGTGTGACTGCCTGCCTGTGTGCGTGTGACTGTCTGTGTGACTGCCTGTCCTTGTGTGTGTGTGTGACTGTCTGTCTCTGTGTGTGTGACTGTCTCTGTGTGTGACTGTCTCTGTGTGTGACTGCCTGCCTGTGTGTGACTGTCTGTGTGTGTGACTGTCTGTCTGTGTGTGACTGCCTGTGTGTGTGACTGCCTGTATGTGACTGCCTGCCTGTGTGTGTCTGTCTGTAACTATCTGTCTGTGTGTGACTGCCTGCCTGTGTGTGTGACTTTCTATCTGTGTGACTGCCTGCCTGTGTGTGTATAACTGTCTATGTGTGTGTTACTGTGTGTCTGTCTGTGTGTGTGACTGCCTATGTGACTGTCTGTCTGTGTGTGTCGCTGTAGCTGTGCCATTGTTTGTGCCTGTGCCTGTATGTGTGACTGCCTTTAACTGAGTGTGTGTGTACATGCCTGTAACCGAGTTTAAATTTCCCCCACCCCTTCCTGTCAAGGCCGCACTTTGACTGACAGACGCTCACTCACTGACAGACGCACACTCACTGACAGACACACACTCTCATATACACTGACAAACAATGACATACACACATACACTATTACTTGGACACACACTGACAGATGCACACTCTCACTGACAGACGCAAGCACTCACTGAAAGATGCACGACTCCACTGACCGACACATACACACTGACTGACACACACTCACTGACCGACACACACTCACTGACCGACACATACACACTCACTGACTTACACACTCACTGACCGACACACACTCACTGACGACACATACACACTCACTGACTGACACATACACACTCACTGACTGACACATATACACTCACTGACCAACACACACATTCACTCACAGACACACACACATTCACTTACAGACACACACAATTACACACTTACAGACACACACACACACACACTTACAGACACACACACACACACACATTCACTTCAAAATAAACACTCACAGACACACACACAGACATTTCCACTAACACTCACAAACTAATATTTTTTACATTTATTTTAAATCCACCCAGCCTCCCTGGGAAAGCTGGAGTGGATTTCTTACCAGCAGTCCAGTGTGGCTGCTGGGCAGGCAGGCAGGGGGCGCACAGGCTGAGTAAGCAGCGCTTAGTGATGCCGGGAGCCGGACTGACGTCATATTCTGGCTCCCGGCTTCATTAAGCGGCGCAGAGGAAGCTGAGCAGGAAGAGCTCAGGTGAGTATGCTCCTTCGCTGCCCGCTGCCAGCCTTGGGGGGGCTCAAAAGTGGCCAGCCGGTCAGCTCTTGAGCCCCCCAGGATGCGAGGCAAGCAAGGGATCTGCCTGGGGGTTTGGAGGGATGCTTTTTTTTGCCGCCCCCTGCAAAGTGGCGCCCAAGGCAGATGCCTTGTTTGCCTCGTGATACACACGTCCCCGGTGCCTGTGTGTGTTACTGTATTCAGGCAACTTGGTGGGAGGTGGGGGGGGGCGCCGTGAAGACTTTTTGCACAGGGCGCCTAATTGCCTAAGGCCGGCCCTGGGTGGCTGGGTGTTATGTAGCTGTATTTGGTGGAGGCTACGTGTGTCTTTGTAAGCTAGTTGAGTATTGTGTGTGGTGGCTGAATATGTGTGTTTTGTCCCCTCCTGCTTATCTTTCCCTGGTGGTCCAGAGGGGGAGTATTGTGATCTGCACTGATATCAGGTGTACATTACTTTCATAGCTCCCATTACAGTTTCAGTGCTTACACAAGGACCACAAGCACCTCTTAAAGTGATGTAGGTGGCGGGGCACAGTGCTGAGCATGGACATCTGTTGATTTCCCTGCCGGCTCAAGGAGGGTCTCCTCAGAACCGGAGCTTCAGGTCCTAATCAGCCACTCTTATGGATAACCAGGCTCCAGGTATTTTACCATCAATTTGATGGGCCTAGAATTCCATAATAATAATAATTATTGTAATTTGCAGAACTACTAATATACTCTGCACAGTACACTGAAACATTCTGTGTGGCTCGAGTTTGGTCGTACTTCCCTACTCACCAAACAAGAAATAGACTGTTGTTGACAGAGCAAAAATGATAAGCATGATGGTGCCTGGTCCAACGTTCCCCATCTGGCAGTGACTGGGACAAGCACACGGGCTTTCCACGAAGATTTCCATGTTATCCCAGTTCTGGGAATCCGAGGGAAAGGTGATTGAGCTTGATGGGCTACAGTTAAAGTGAACAATAGCTCTTAAAGAGGTATCGGATAAAGCTGTGAGAGAAGAAATCGACAGGATGAGATATATTTTAGGCCAGCATATAACCTAACTGCTATGGCACTAAAAAAGACCATAGCAGAGATATATCACAGCAAATTCTGTGTCGAAGACCTAAATAATGAGCAATAACCATGGGAACAAATAGAATGTCTATCCGTATTTATTTTCACCCAATATAGCATCTGTTTTGCCTAATAAATCTTCCCCAAAATGTTTTCAGATTAATCCATGGTGATTTAGAGTCACTATGACTGTTTATTGAAGAGCAGGTCTTATCATAAACATTTCAGAGTCGAAACCCTTTTGTCAATGTGTACAGGAGCCAAAGGCAGACCGATGAAGAGACTCTGGCCACAGAATGTGTGATGATGTCTCCTCTTCGCTAAGTAGGTATGATGAAATTAGAGCACAATGTACTCCTCTTCAAACTTGATCAGAAATACATTTTGATGAGCTATGTATGTAGCTATAGACATGCACAAATGCTGTACGCAGGCACACCCTAATACAGGACTTACTTATCCACACTGTCCCACACTGAGGTTCATACCTGCACTTACACTGACCATCTACAACATCAAAACCACTGACAGGTGAAGTGCATAATATTGATTATATTGTTACAATGGCACTTAGCCATGGGGTGGGATATATTAGATAACAAGAGAACAGCCAGTTCTTGCACTTCATGTGTTATAAGCAGGACAAATGGTCAACCAAAAAACATCTGAGTGACTTTGACAAAGGCCAAATAGTGAAGGCTAGACGACATCTCCAAAACAGCTAGTCTTGTAGGGTGTTCCCGGAATGCAGTGGTCAGTACCTACCAAAAGTGGTGCAAGTAAAGGACAACCAATGAATCGGCTTTAGGTACATGACACCCAAGGCTCATTGATGCATGTGGAGAGCAAAGGATAGCCCACCTGGTCAGATCACACCCAAGATCTACTGTAGCTCAATTTGTTGAAAAACGGAATGGTGGCCATGATAACAAGTTGTCAGAACACACAGTGCATCACAGATTGCTGCGTATGTGACTGTGTAGCAGCAGACTAGTCAAAGTGACCATGATGACCTCTGTCCGCCGCCAAAATCGGTGGATTGACAGATGGGTGTGCGTTATTTATCTGGGGAAAAGATGGCAGCAGGAGGCACCATGAGGAGAAAGCATGCTGGCAGCTGCAGTATTATGCTCTGGGCAATATTCTGCTGGTAAATCTTGGGTCCTGGCATTTATGTGGATGTTATTTTGACACAGGGCTGGACTGGGAAAAAAATTTGGCCCCCTGAGAAGGGGTGGGGCCAGAGAGGGTGTGTTTTGTCATCACGAATGACAAGCACGACCCCTCTCAAAGTAAGCAAGTTGGTTCAATGCGCAGAGCCCCGCTGAAGAGCTTTAGCATGAGAAAAAGGTCCTGTATTTGTTCTGCGCAGCGCAAACAAATTTAATAACATGCTTGTGCTGTGTTTGCTTTAAACTTGTCTCTGGTGTCTCCATAAGTGGGATACCAGAGGGCAAAAAGGCCAGGAAAGCTTATGGTGCATGTGTTTGGAGCCTGCTTGTGGGATTGCCTGTGTGTAGAGTGAGCTGATTGTGGTGTGGTATTGTGTAAATAGGTCAATTTCATTTATGTTTGTGGTGAAATCTGTGTGGCTAGGGGCTGTAGAGAGTGTGTGTATAGGGGGGCATAGTGTTATAGGGGATGTAGCAAGTGTGTGCATACGGGCTGTAGAGTGTGTGTGTATAAAGGTGACGTAGTGTGTGTAGGGGTTGTCGAGAGTGTGTGTTTAGAGAATGTAGTATGTGTTTGCTTACAAGGAATGTAGTGTGTGTAGGTGGTGCAATGTGTGTGTGTAGGGGATCTAGTGTGTAAATGACCCAGAGTGTGTATAGGAGATCATGTGTGTGTGTGTGTGTAGAGGATTCAAAGTGTATATAGGAATCTAGTGTGTGTATTTGTAGATGTGATACTTATTTGTAATACTTCTTTAATTGGAACTCAACTGCAGAAACAATACGTTTCACCTCCTTTTATATTGAAGTGAACAAGGTTGACTGTATCTTTAAATACACATGCAGGGAAGAAATGCAATGCTAGTTCCAACTTAATTAAGATGGAATGATTTATGAAAATTATGTTAATGAAGCTGGACAGGCTTGCAATTAGAATAAATTGATATTTGCAGGAAGAATTAGACTTAGTAGCAATCCCTTATTGACAAGAGAGAATTTTAGTGAAATTTAAATACTGTATAAATTAATTAATATGAATTGGTTTCCTTGGCAAAAAGGTTTACTTAACTTAGAGGCAGTTCTGGCAATGGAAGGGTTAATTCACCCAATGGAGGAGAAATTAGGAGTCTCTATTAATAAGCTGAGCGTTAGGAGTGGAGAGTAAGGAAGTCCGTTTTTACTAGCCGAGGTCTGGGAGTGGAGAAGGTAGAAGTCCGTTTTACAAGCCGAGGTCGAGAAGTGGAGAAGGTAGAAATCTGTTTACAAGCCGAGGTTCGGAGAGGAGTGGAGCCGGTAGCATCAAGTAGAGCAGCTGATCTCAATGCAGCACCTGAGTGAATAATCCAGCCCTTTGAATCTGGCGCGGTCTTCCTAAGTATTGTGGAAGGACCGCGTCAGAGAAAGGGGCGGGGCTAAGCGCCGTGAACCCGGAAGTGGGTTCCGGCGGCAGCATGAATGATAGAGTATACCTGACAGTAGATTAGATGATCCAGAGTTGGTTAAGGGATCTAGTGTGTATCTGGAGCATAATGTGTGTAGTGGTGCAGTGTGAGGGGTGCTGTAGTGTGTATATATATATATATATATATATATATGTTTGGAAGTATTGTATGTGTGAGGGGCACAGTGTGTTGGGTTGCTGTGTGTATGTATTAAGGTTGCAGCATGTGTGTGTGAGGAGTGCTGTGTGTGTGTGTGTGTGAGGGTGCTGTGTGTGTGTGTGTGTGTGAGAGAGAGTGTGCTGTGTGTGAGGGTGCTGTTAGTGTGAGTGTGCTGTGGGTGTGTGTGAATATGTTTGTAGGAACTATATCCCCCCTCCTTTCTTATCTTTTGCCTGGGAGGGGGCTGTGCTGCTGCAGTCCCTGGTGGTCCTAGTGGTGAGTGAACGCTAGCCTGTGGGCTAGAGTTCAATTTTGCAAGATCTTAGAGTTGCCGTGGTAACTGTGGCAATGCTCCGACCTCACGGAAAGAACCTGGCGGAGCTGCAGGTAAGTTCCCCTGGGTCTTCCTCTCTCTCCCTCCCCAGCTGGCAGCCGCATGTCTATGCCTGTGGGCCGGTGATCTCCCCAGCCGGCCTCGACCTTTTATACCCGATGGTCAGTCCGGGCCTGCTTTGACACATACCATCTACTTAGAGATTCTTGCAGACCTTGTACACCCCTTCATGGCTATGGTGTTCCATGCTGGCAGTGGCTTCTTTCATGAAGATAGTGCCACCTGCCAATCTGAAATTGTTCATGAATGTTTTGAGAAACATGACAAATAGCTGCTTTGGCCTCCAAATTCCCCAGATCTCAATCTAATTGAACAACTGTGGGATGTGCTGAAACACCAAATCTGATCCATGGAGACCCCACCTCACAACTTGTAGGACGTAAAGGATCTGCTGCTAATGTCAGATAACACAGGACACATTCAGAGGTCTTGTGCAGTCCATTCCTCGATGCATCAGAGCTGTCTTGGCAGCATAAATTAGTAGAGGCCTACCCAGGTATTAAACATTCCTAGTAGGTGGTGATTTTAGGAGTCATATAAGGGTTGTTCTCATTAGCTTGGTTGCTTCATCTAAGTGTTGCTTCTAAGTGTGTAGTTGGAGATATTCTGGAGATAAACTGGAGGTAATCTGAGGTATTCAGGAGGATACATAAAAAGTTAAGATTCGTTTGATTTAAATTATTCACCTCATTGGAATGGCAGACTTAGTTCAGTGTAATAGTTGCTATGCCTTTGTTTCACGTTCCACTTTTTGGAGGTTTGGTTGTTGTCTAATATGTAGACAGTTCTCTATCTTGCGGCAGGAGATTGTATTTTTGAAGTCTGAGATTTGTAAATTATCTGGTAAACAAACTCAGGCTGGAACTGCTGCAAAGCCACTGCTGCAGAGACCTACTAGGAATGGCAGATGGATTACTGTAGGATCTGATAGACTTAGACTTGTGGATAAAAGGCATATTGCACAGTCTGTTGCTCTACATAATTCATTTTCTGCACTTTTAGAGTGTAATGGTGTTGTGGAGAGAGGCACTGAGGCTAGTGGTGTTGTGGAGAGAGGCACTGAGGCTAGTGGTGTTGTGGAGACAGGCTCAGGCACTGAGGCTAGTGGTGTTGTGGAGACAGGCTTGGAGACTATGGTGAGGCCTAATAGAAAGCAGTTGTTGTTGGGGGATTCCATCATAAGAGGTGTGGAGATGGACAATGGTGGTCTTGTGAGGTGTCTTCCCGGAGCTACTGCTCACAGAGACAGGAGACGTATCTGTAATATTGTTAAGCGAGCAAAGCAGGAAGGGGAATTGGATGTACTTGTCCATCTAGGGACAAATGACTTGGCTTGCAATAAGGTTTCAGAGGTTAAGGAAGTGTTTTTGCCAATGATATACGGCAGGTTGCTTCCACACTGTCATTCTCTGAAGTTCTGCCTGTGCATAACACTCAGAACGACAGGCGGATGCGTATTAGGGACTTTAATTTGTGGCTTGGTGAATGGTGTCGGGAGCAAGGATTTGGAAATAACCTGTACAAAAAAGATGGTTTGCATCTTTCTCAAAAGGGAACAAATGTTCTCAGTGAGCAGTTCAGAGGTTTTGCTAGGATGCATTTAAACTAGGAGGGTGGGGGGGCAAAAGGGTGATAAAACATCAATCCAATTGTCCCCCAAAACAAGGACAGAAGGTGCCTGTAGCAAGTGCGTTAAAAAATGATAAGCTTAGAGTCATGTCTACAAATGCTCACAGTTTAGGGAATAAGATCCATGAACTTGTGGCAATAATGGCAAATGATAGTATAGATTTAGTCGCTGTTACTGAGACATGGTATAATGAGAAAAATGACTGGGACATAGCAATACCAGGGTACTCTTTATATACAAAAGACAGGGAAGGCAAGAAAGGGGTGGGGTGGCCTGTATGTGAAGGATAACATAAAATCTAGCCCAATAAAAGTTAGTGAGGCGAACATAGAGTCTGTTTGGGTTACGTTAGAATTTGGTAATCACACAGCAACTCGTGTAGGTGTGATTTATAGGCCCCCAGGACAAATGGAAGAGTTAGATAATCTACTAGTTGAAGAAATTGCTAAAATGACAATGAAGGGGGAAGTTATCATCATGGGTGACTTTAATCTTCCTGATGTGAATTGGAAAACAAAAATAGCTGCTTGTGCCAGGAGCACACATATTCTAAACTCCCTACTGGGATTGTCTCTAAAACAAGTCGTTGAGAAGCCAACTCATTAAGAGGCCATACTAGATTTAGTGTTAACAAATGGAGATTTGGTATCAGATATTACAGTAGGTGAAAGTTTAGGATCCAGTGATCATCAGTCATTGTGGTTTAATATAAGAACAGTGACTGAGTCACACCACACAAAAACAAAAGTTTTAGACTTTAGAAAAACAGACTTTTCTAAAATTAGAATATGTGTAGAGGAGTCATTATCAGACTGGAGCAATTTAAATGGAGTCCAAGAGAAATGGGATTATTTAAAATTTGCACTATTGAAGGCAACATTAGGCTTGTCAGTAAAAGCAAAAATTCAAAAAAACCATTGTGGTACTCTGCAGATGTGGCCAAAATAGTTAAAAACAAAAAGTTAGCATTTAGTAATTATTTAAAAAAAACAAAAAACAGAGTGTGGAAGACAAAATGATCTATAAGATTAGGCAGAAAGAGGCTAAGCAAGTTATAGGAACTTCCAAATCACACACAGAAGAGGAAATAGCACAGTCAGTAAAAAAGGGGGACAAAACAGTTTTTAGATACATAAATGAGAAAAGAAAAGTAAAACAAGGATTAGTTAGATTAAAAACAAAAGAAGGAAGGTATGTAGAAGAGGATAAAGTTCTAGCTGACTGCCTCAATTAATATTTTTGTTCAGTATTTACAGATGAAAATTAAGGAAAGGGACCTCAGTTAAGAAAAAGGATGAGTCATTTATTACATGTGAGTTTACAGAGGAAGAGGTTCTATTTCAACTGTCAAAAGTAAAGACAAATAAGTCAATGGGACCTAATGGAATACACCCAAAGCTATTAAAAGAGCTTAGTGGTGTACTAGCAAAACCATTAACAGATTTATTTAACCAATCATTGTTAACAGAAGTAGTCCCAGAAGATTGGAAGTTAGCGAATGTTGTGCCCATTCACAAGAAAGGTAATAGGGAGGAGTCGGGCAACTATAGGCCAGTAAGCCTTACTTCAGTTGTGGGGAAAGTGATGGAAACCATGTTAAAGGATAGGATAGTTGAACATCTAAAAACACATGGATTTCAAGATCAGAGACAACATGGGTTTACTTCAGAGAGATCATGCCAAACTAATCTTATTGATTTTTTTGATTGGGTAACTAAAATTATAGATCAGGGTGGTGCAGTAGACATTGCTTACCTAGATTTCAGTAAGGCTTTTGACACTGTTGCACATAGAAGGCTTATCAATAAACTGCAATCTTTAAGTTTGGATTCCAATATTGTTGAATGGGTAAGGCAGTGGCTGAGTGACAGGCAACAGAGGGTTGTAGTCAATGGAGTATATTCGAAGCTTGGACTTGTCACCAGTGGGGTACCTCAGGGATCTGTACTTGGACCCATTCTCTTTAATATTTTTATTAGTGATATTGCAGAAGGTCTTGATGGTAAGTTATGTCTTTTTGCTGATGATACTAAGATATGTAACAGGGTTGATGTTCCAGGAGGGATAAGCCAAATGCAAATGATTTAGGTAAACTAGAAAAATGGTCAGAGAGGAGATTTTAAAACAAGAAAAACTACCACAACAAGAGGACATAGTCTTAAATTAGAGGGACAAAGGTTTAAAAATAATGTCAGGAAGTATTACTTTACTGAGAGGGTAGTGGATGCATGGAATAGCCTTCAAGCTGAAGTGGTAGAGGTTAACACAGTAAAGGAGTTTAAGCATGCGTGGGATAGGCATAAGGCTATCCAACTATAAGATAAGACTAGGGACTAATGAAAGTATTTAGAAAATTGGGCAGAATAGATGGGCCAAATGGTTCTTATTTGCCGTCACATTCTATGTTTCTATAAGGAGGACCTACACAATTTTGGCAGGTGGTTTTAATGTGGCTGATCAGTATTAGTGCTAGTGTGATACAGCACATTGTCTGGTTGAACATTAGCATTTTTATTTGCAAACGATGATTATCATTAGATCAAAATGTGTTTTCTTTATTTTTTGATGTTTGTATTAAAAGTGTTCAGTGGGTAATTTAAAAAAAAACCAAGAACTAAAAATGTAATTTTAGCAAGCATAATAAAAAGAAATGTCCATATGATGAATGAGATTTCAATATTCCTTTTATTTTCCTTTTATTAAATATTATTGCACAGGTGCAGACCCATATTAAAGGTGCTGCGCATGTCTATGCATGTATCTGACTACAGGGCTTACCCACCTGAGAACTCAGACACACATTTTTGGCAACCACAGTGAAGTTTGCAACAGTTGCCAAACAAGAATCTCTTTAAGCACCAAAACAGAGAATTGAGCAGTGAGCCCATAGGGGATAATCTATAAACTAAATTAAGCTAAAGTTGTTTTGGTGCCAATAGTGTCCTTTTAATGTATTTTAAAGGGACACTCAAGGCACCCAGACCACTTGTGCCCATTGGAGTGGTCTGGGTGCCAACTCCCACTACTCTTAACCCTGCAAGTGTAATTATTGCAGTTTTTTATAAACTGCAGTAATTACCTTGCAGGGTTAAGTCTATTAGACAGCCACTAGAGGGACTTCCGTGTTTTTAGAACACGAAAAGTGTTTTAAGCAACGCTGGACATCCTCACGTTATGTGAGGACCTCCAGCGTTGCCGAAATCCCCATAGGTAAGCATTGAATAATTATTTCCTATGGGGAGGTCTAATGCGCGAGCGCGGCCATTGCGCCTTAGGTCTCCTCCGCTAGCTGACGGCGGGAGAGGAGAGTAGGCGGAGGGACATTGGCGCTGGACTCCGGTAAGTCACTGAAGGGGTTTTAACCCCTTCAGCAACTTGGGATGGGAGGTGGGAAGGAGAGGTGTACTACTCATATGTTTTCCTGGCACTGGAGAGTCCCTTTAAGTCCATTTTCCTGCAGTGCCCAAGAGTAACTTTGAAATGGTTTGCTCCCTCCTGTGGCAAAATGTAGAACTGCAGTTACAATTTTCTCCATAAATACAGCTTTTCCCCCAAGACGACATCTTTCTGTCTGTCGATAAATTATGTTTTGTCATTCTGCGTTACATTAAAATAAAATACAATTGATGCTGTCTCCCATGCATTGTATAGATATTAGACAAGTCTTGCTGTATGGCTGATTCTCTGAACAGGGAATACACACGAATATTCAAACATTTTCCAACTCATCTCTTCTTTTTAGGCTACTTTGGCATAAAATTTACAGCTCCCTTTGTCAGTTCTGTAGAGCTTCACACTTTTAGAGAACAAACGCCTGTTCCTCTGTTAAACTATCCCTCAACAGACCATCCACAGTCAGTGTCTTACCTTGGTAGGTGAGAGACAGGGTTTTGCTCTCATTGTTGTAAGAATATTCATTATTGTTGTACAGTCCATACCCCAAATAATATGGCACACTACCCGGGACCATGAGATCTCTGCAAATAGACACAAAGTTGAGAGATATTGAAATAAGTTCCATATAGGACATGATTTTTTTTTTTTTTAGCTTTCTTACATAGGAAAGCCACAGAGGCAAGTGATTGCATAACTGTATTGACAGCGTGTCCGGCCATGCTTCTCTAACTCTGTCTCTTGGACTTCATACACTTTACTGGCTCACTGGCTTCCCTGGTGTCCATAACGCTGGTCTCCCTGCTCCCCGTGCCCCCATTACCCGTTTGTCCACATGTTCTCCCGGCAGCTCTTACCCTTTCAAAATTTAGGCCAATATAACCAGACATAAAACATTTTTAATTCAGCTATTCATTTCAATTGTCTTAAATTCCTGACAGATCACACCTTTAGTGAATTACCCTGTGTAACTATGTTGAAATACCGGCTCATAGCTTGTAAGAAACAGGCACCTGTTTTTGGGAGTTCAAATTCCTCAAATCCATGACAGTGATCTCCATATACATCTGAAATGTGCTAATAGCATCTTTTGTAACCAGTGTTACTAGGGTAGAATACAATATAAAGGCCCATACCAATTTCCATTTCATAGCATCTGTACACTGCACTTTAATAGTGAATGTTTTAGGCTCTTGTGAATGTTTTAGGCTCTTGTACGGTGCAGAAGAGGGAGACAACATTTACCCATGCAAATGGATTGATTAAAAAAAATGGAGAATATTACTCAACAACCACATGAGACCCTAGCCCTAGTTTCTTCTTCTTTTTGACAGGGTAAACAAAACCAGCCCCATGTATAGGCAGAATTGGTAGAGAAGAAGACTTCTGTCCCCTGTGCAAGATTGGTCACTTAAAGAAAGACCTTTTTATGAATGTTTTTATTTAATTTAAAGAGATAATCGAAACAGTAAAACAACTTTGGTTTCTGTTTATGCAGCACTAGCCACACCTTCCCCAAATGTGACTCAAACAGTCATCATGAAAGAATGGTTTCATTTCCAATCAGCTCTTACAGCACAGTGTGTTTACTTTAGACTTTCTTATCTATGCAATAAAGGAAGTTTAAACATTATACCTCTGTATAGCAAGTGTGTAGGTAGGCTGTGCAGGTCACCTTTAATAGTAGCTAGGGTTAACATAATTTTTTTTAATGCATTCTTTAGCGCTGTAATCAGTAGGTTTATTTAATGTATCTAATGTAAAACTGATCATAATGTTTAATGACTGTAGCAGTGATGTATTTAAGATTATACCTGACCCAAGATAACCTTATGGTATAACATATCCAATCATTTTCTTTTTCTATAATGAGCTATTATGTCTGCTTCCCTCACTAATTGTGATCAGTCCCTTCATTATTTACCAATTACCATAATGTGTGCCTTCCTTGCAAACTGTTAAAGTGTCCAGTGTCTCATCCAAAATCCAGAACTGAATTATAGAAATGCAACCAAATACTGAAATGAATCATTGGTGGAACCAAAAAGCAGTTTAATATATTTATTGAATGTGCCTGCTACCAGATGTGCTCCGTTAATAGCCTTATAGATCCCACAGGAGCCTCCTGTGTGTGAAGTGAAATTTACAGAGCAGAAGCTAAAACATATAAAGCAAGTTAACATCTGATCGAAAATTAAGCCATTTTTTTCATGCAGGCTGTGTCCGTCACAGCCAGGGGAGGTGTAACAAAGGCTGCATAAACAGAAACAAAAGTGATCTAACTCCTAAATGGCAGACCATCGAGCAGTGAAACTTCTACGCACACTAAAACGGTGTCATGAACAGCCAAAGTTGTTTTGGTGACTGTAGTGTCCATTTCACAAGGTTTGGCTTTAGTAAATATATTTTTTTGAAATTGCAGTGCAGTGTTAAGTACAAGCTTTTGTAATGACTTATGACAAGAGGTATAATGACAATATTGAAACATTGAAACAGATAAAGTCAAGATGTGCTGCACTTTTTTTTTGCAAAGATAACATGCTTATTCACAGTAAGTCAATATATGAGTATTGAAGCACTAGGCTCATGCAAATTGCCAACAGACTTGTGATTTAAACTAGAGGTAAACAAAAGTACAAATGCTGAGCAAATGAGCCACTTAATCTAGCTTTTGTAAAAATTCCACTGGACATGAATTCAAACGAGGAACAAAACAGATAGTCTGCATCCCTGCCCACATTAAGCTGCATAGCGTTATCCCCAGGCTCAACCTATGCCCTTCGTGGTTTGTGGTGTGTAAGAGTGTGAACGGGAGATATAAGTCCTACACACTGTATATGATATAACATGCAGATCGTGATAGTAGTGAGTAGAAAGCATGGTACAGGTGCGTTACATATAACATAACCATAGCTATTATCAAATATCATGTAGGGTGATTAAGTAGGTGTTTAAACCACTATAGACAGGCTTAACATTTCACTGCTTATAGAGTCAAGAGAGAGAAGAGAGACATGAATCCCTGCATAAAAGATAGCACTTTGGAGCACATTACATCTTCTGGAACCATTGTTTGCGTTAACCGATCCTCTTTAGGGTCTGGTGTGGCATGGAATCTGGAAAGTCCACATGTAGGATTGCAGTGCCGTGCCGAGGCGAGACCCCTCTCCAGCTCCGGGCCTGAGTGAGGGCCGGCATCCGCATTCCACAGACCTGGGAATTCATAGGTACCAAGCCTCACCACCTGTGTGGATGGTCAGAAGATCTGGTTGGTGGGAGCCACTGTCGGTGTATGATCTCTGGACCATGTGGTCGATGCTTGGAGGCAACCCTCCGATAGGCTGTCCGCCCACAGTGGCTGGTAGTAGCAGGTGTCAGCTTGTGCATAATAGGTTTGCCCCACTGGGGTTCCTGCCGTTTCGGCACCTTGCCCCTCCATTCCGCTGTGTTCGGTCTAGTCAGAGATGATCTTCCGCGTTCCTCAAGTTTCATCCAGAAGGTCTGGAAAATCTCCTCCAGGCGCAGCAGGATATGAGCAGTAGAGCTACAGTATAGTAGCTGAGGTGAATCCAGGTCCCGCGTGTCGTAGGGAATGGCAGCCACCATGTTGAATGGCCAGGGTGAGCAAAGTGTGGGTCGAGAACACAAGGAACCGCTAGAGACAGCTATCCAGTGGGGACCGGGATATTCCCCTCCAATCCAGGGGGGGAAGAAGGTAGAAGCATAGCGTTACAACGTCGGGTAACTTAGAGAGTGAAGATCGGCCGCTTCTTCCCTACTCCATCCAGACCAGGCCGCAACAGGTTTTCTTGGGTTCCCGGTGGAGGTTAGATGTGAGTAAAGTTTCAGTTTGATCCTCTGGGAATCCCTGACCTAGGTGGCACTCTTTCAGCAGTCGGATTATGACTTTGGCTGGGATTTGCACCCCTTAATCGGCCAAAGAAGCAGTAGCTTGTGTGCCACACCTGGTCTGCTCCAGGGTCAGGCTCCGTCCCGGCTTTAGTAAATTCGGTCACTACAATCAATTTTACAATAATGCTAAAGGGTTAATATTTTTAATGGTCTCAGTGAGAGTTTATTGGAACAAATCCCACAGTATTGATTCATTAGTGCAAAAATGAATTTGATTAGTTAAAACCAGCTGATACGCATTTTTGCTCAAGTCGAGTGCGGTGTTCAGCAATGTGAAAACCTTATACGTAATTTGTCGGAAGGTAGGATGATCAATATATAAAAGGATATGGGTTTACTTAGAGAGTTCACTTGGGCCAAATGGAGGCTGCATGCTTCACCTTAATTTTAAGCTACAAACATATCCAATCTGAGACAAAAGTAATTAGGATAATTTCATTGTTCATTCCTTATTGGTCCCTTTTCCACAGCTGTCTGTCTACTACACTCTGCTTAATGTCCCTACAATTGTTATTGACTGTGGTTTAGGAAGCACCTCTAGTGGCCGTGTGAGTGACTGTCACATTTTATTCTGAAAAAGCAGTGCTGATATTAAAGAGCCTGCAGGGACTGACTGTACTCACCAGAATTATGCTGACTATAGTGTCCCTTTAAAGCCTACATTCACATGTCCTTATTATAGGTGAGTGTGTGCTCTGTTCAAACGCCTGCAGTAAACCAAAATTTAAACCTCAAAACTTTTTCCAAAACCCGAGCTGAGACTATAGTTGAGTTGGATAATTTTGCCAAATCTGCTATGTTCGTCTAAATTTTACATTTCTGTTTACAATTCAATACAGTTTGTTTTTTAACAAATATTCCTCATTACGTGTTTGCATATTAAAGCAGTGTATGCATCATTGTGTAACGAAGTATGTGACGTCGTGGTATGTACATGTTGTGTATGTGTTGGTGTTAGAGTGTGTGATACACATAAATTGCAGTTAATGCCATATAGTCGCCATTTTTATCATTGAGTGTTTGTTGTGCATTACCTGGTTTTCACACAGAGCAGCACGTGTGAGCAGTTTAACGCAGCCTCGGGCTTGCTGAAGGAGTTACAGGAGCTTAATGTGATAGATTCCTCCAACCACCTGTCCCCAAACGCACGTTGGATCTTTCTGTCCCTTATTAAGAATCCTTCGGAATCCCCAAGAGCCGCTAAGTCAATGATCCCCGAACCGTCCGTCATCTGGCATTGGCAGGGGTTAACCATGATGCATCCAAAAGAGCCCCCGAAATACAGCCCCCCGATGCAAAGCAGGGAAACAAAAATGGTGCTTCTCATGTTAAGAAATCACTGCGACTCACTGCCTGAATGGATAGCACTAACCTGTCAAATAGCAAGAGGAGACCCAACCCTTAACCCTTCGATGCCAGAGGGTAGAGAGAGGGGGGAGAGTAACAGATAGCAGTATTGGAATTTAGGAGCAAGGTGTATACTAGGTCTTCCCACTGCATCAGCAACCATGTATGTTTATACTAAAAAAACTTTGTCCTGAAATGCCACATCCATATGCTTAATGCTTTCCTTGCCCCTGCGATGTACTCTCTCGAAAACCCTACTTAAGGAATGTTTGAGATTTGTATTTGTTGAGGCAGGAAGAATACTTTGCAGTAAGCTGACTTCAGGTCCTGATCTCTGATTTAGGGGACACCTATCGTTGTGAATCAGCACTACAGGAGAATGGTGGAATGGGGGGGTGGGTTAACTGAAAGAGGATAAAGGCAAAAAGAAAACAAATGCTTTGAGATCTGGAACTACAATTAAATAAACTGGTTAATGATCTAACTCTTGCTTTTTGCTAATTTACATACAGGTTCTCCCTTTGTTAAAAAAAAAATAGTTAAAGGGACACTATAGTCACCCCAGACCTCCTCATCGTAAACAAGTGGTCTGGGTGCAGTGTACCTGTCCTTATAACCCTGCAATATAAATCATCGTTTGTTAAGTCCTCCTGTATAATTACATTGCAGGGTTAAGTTATGTATTTTATTATTTATATAGCGCCAACAAATTCCGCAGCGCTTTACAATGGGTGGACGAACCAGACAAGTTGGACACACAGGAACAGAGGGGTGGAGGGCCCTGCTCAATGAGCTTACATGCTAGAGGGAGTGGGGTAAAGTGACACAAAAGGTAAGGATAGTATTAGACTAATGACAGTTGCAAGAGAGGAATCAGTCGGGAGCTATTAAGTCCTCCTATACCCCTCTACTGGACTTCCTCTCATACTGACAGTCACTATAGGCACGTCTGCTGCATTGACCGAGTAAAACCAAGTCACGAGACACGGAAGTCTCATTGGAACTCACTGATTCAATGAGGAGCATTGGATTCGACCATGCCGGAGAAGGCCATGATGTTCTGGGGGCTGAGGGCTAAACAGCAACGAAGGAGCCTCGACACTGGAAAAAGGTAAGTAAAAAAATAATTTATTAACTCTTTTTGCACTGGGGGTGACCTGGCAACAATTATATCCTACCTATATAGTGTTCCTTTAGCTATACCTCAATTTCAGCACTAGAATTCCATTGATCCCACTTGTCCAATCCAGTGCTTCCTTCTCTGTGAGAAGTATTGGACACATTCGGCATCATCAAACTCTGCGTGATGACGCCAAGTGTCAAAACCTTCGAAAATCAAAGGCTTTTAATGGGGAAGCTGTAGTGAATAAGCTCCGGTTTTTAGAGACGCAAGAGAAAAACATATATTACAGTCTTTGTATATCGTTAGAACCCTACAATTACTGAGCGTGCAAATCAAACCAAGGAATAAATTACCAGCTTTAAACTAGCTTTAAGCCACCAGATTTTCTTATTTATAGTAAATATCTGCCTATAAATAAACTGAAAGGTCTCTATTTAGACTTCACCGTTCTGCTGTACGTGGGTGTAAAACGCCTCTCTTTCGAGATCACTAACATCTTTGAAGGAAAGAACCCTCTGGCAGAAACAGGTTGGCGAAACAAATCCTTTTATGTTCCTTCTTTTTTTTTTGCAACATTAAAGTTCTTTAAAAACAAAATAAGAATGTGTAGAATTACAGGGAACGAAATGATTAGATGTCTGTGTAATAAGATTATATACTATTCACCGCTCTAGTCAAAAATAAGCATAATTGGCAGGTTTTAAATGTGGTCATATTACTGCCATTTTGGGATAAAACAGTCAGAAAGAAGACAAATCAGATTATATTACAATGAAATGGTGTTGAAATCCCGTTTAATAGTAGCTAGGGTTAACATAATACTCTATTATTTGGGAAGATTTTTTTTAAAATACTTCCTGATCGTTGTAACCAGTAGGTTTATTTAATGATCCAAGATTATTTCATGGTACAACATCTCCAATCATTTTCTTTTTGTATAATGAGCTATTATGTCTGCTTCCCCCAGTCCCTTCATTATTTATCAATTACCATAATACCCCTTCTTTTAGCCATCAGTCCAAAATCTAAGTATCGTGAACTCTTAAAGTGTCCTGCGTGTCATCCAGAACTGATTTATGGAAAAGCAACCAAATGCTGAAATGAAAGATGGAACTCGGTGGAACCAAAAAGCAATTTAATTTATTTAGTGAATTTTCCTGCAACCCGATTTGTTTGGAGTGAATCTGATTAAAATTCAGTGTTTCATAAATAGTCGAATCCCATATGTTATAAACATGTAAAATTACAGATCTTCAGAAACCAAAATTTAAACCAGATTGGCCTTCAGAAAATATGAGAATTGCACATCCAGGTAAAATTAATTTATTGTTTTAAAATGTATTATGTTTTTAGTGAATAATCATAGGAAATTTTAAAAACCTAATGAAAATATGGTCTTCCCCTTATCTTAAGTTCTAGATTGAAGGCCACCCAGACCTCTTGTTCCATCCATTGACCCTTCTGGAGGCATAGTTACACCAGCGGTAGAGTGGCTAATCTTCATATGTATAGCGCTTCCTAGCAAAACGTTGCACATACAGGCTCTAGGCACCAAAATGGCTGGGGTAGAATCCCCAAGAAAGCTACATTGGTGTCAGTCAATTAAAAAACTGAGAGTTTTCATTTAAAGTAATGTTTTTCCCATAGGAAAGCATAGGATTGGCTGAGATTGTCAACGAGGCAGATCAGGTGCGGAGCCAGCACAAGCCACACACAGCTCTGGCCAATCAGCATCTCCTCATAGAGATATAATGAATCAATGCCTCTCTCTGAGGTAAGGTCAGTGTCTCCATGCAGAGGGTGGACACACTGAATGGCAGTGCTGCTAACTGTGCAGCACTGCCCCAGGAAGCACCACTAGCAGCCATCTAAGGCGTGGCCAGTTATCACTAGGCTGTAATGTAAACACTGCATTTTCTCTGAAGGGAAATGATTCTACTTACCTGAACAAATACAGTAAGCTGTAGTTGTTCTGGTGACTATAGTGTTCCTTTAAGTTAACGTTAATGGATGAGCTGAAGGTAGATGTTTATGTTAAAATGAAACCAGAGTCATAGCGATCCTATGGCGCTTTACTTACTGTGGACAAAAGGCTCCATGAGACGGCTGTGCATTATGGAAAATTCTGCTTGGGCATAATGTTAACCACATCACAAGTGACCCACATGGCTGCAGCTTACTGTGTGATCTTGTGCGCCAACCTCCCTTCTTTATGTGCTTATATAGACATAAAAGGTCTTTGTGTGCCCTAAATATTAAATGTCAGGGTCCTCATGCTGTATACAGTTGGATGTCTTCCGACTTACAATGAATACACTATGAAATCCCTTACCATGGATTCATAGTTGCAAGTAAGTATCCACATTTCAAATATTCTAATTCATTCTTTTGTACTGGGACCTAAATATGATCTCCTTCTATCTTATTGTGTAGTATTACTCAATGTCAGGTTACCTGTAAATTCAACCTCTGAGGAGGTCAGTCTCTCTTCCAAAGGGGCTCCTATGCCCAAGCATTTCGGCATTTTTCGGCCGTTTTCGCGCCGGCCGCGCTAGCTCCTCCCCCTTTTATGACGCGACGGCTAATCGTCGACGTCATGACGTCATCATAACGTGAACCGCCGGGAACCGCAATTCCGGACCTTTTGGGGGCGTGGTCATAATTAAGGTGACAGGGTATTTAAGGGAAGCTTTTACTACTGCTCATTGCCCTGTCGTGGTTCTAGCTTGCTAGTCACTCAGCGCGTTCTCTCTCTTTGTGTTTTTCGGTTTTGACCTAGCTTGTACCTTTGTCCTGCTGCTCTCTCCTCTCCTTAGACCCGGCTTGTTCCTCGCTTACCTGTCCTCCGGCTCCCTCGACCTCGGCTTACCTTTTGACCATTCTTGTCTTGTCTATACGTTAGTCCTGCCATTCTAAGGTCCAGTATACGTACCTCCTCCTGTCCGCACTCTGCGTATTGGATCCCTGTCACGATCCTGACACTCAATCACATGGACTTTCACAAATCCTTTAAACTACATTTTAAAATAATATATTTTCTTAATATGTTTGTTCTGTAAACATGCATGCATTGATCTCAGCATAGGGCAAGTGGAGATGAGAGGGTGTGTGTGTGTTCCAATAAATGGTAGCACTCACAGGACTTCCAGAACACGATTTCTTGTGTCAAACTCCAGACATAACACACACAGCAAATGTGAAGATCTATGTTTCGACTCTAAAGTGTCATTATCAAAACCCACTGTATGTACATTCAATTTCATTTCATTTAAGTTTTTTTTGCATAGAGGATTGTAAATGTGAACAAGGTCTCCATCTAGTGGGAAATTCTGTAATTACAAATCAAGTAACAACAAAATGAAAATAAAATTGTATGTACTATATTTTACCATCACTCGAAATTTTATAGTGAATAATAATGGTGAGCCAATTTTATTTCATCACATGTAAAGCTTGTATTGCAGGTTATGTAGTAATCTACTTGGATTTTTCCAAGACGTTCGATACAATAGGTTAGTTTTCAAACTTAAAGAAATTGGTCTAGATGAAAACGTTCTTTTTGGGTAGAACATTGGCTTAAAGATAGAGTACAGAGAGTTGTTATTGACTGTTCATTTTTAAGCTGGTCAAAAATGGTAAGTAATGTCCCCTTTAGGGTTTTGGGACTTTTTCTATTTAACATATTTATAAATTTTATTTAAATAGACATTGAAAGTCATGTTTAAGCATTTGCAGATGATACAAAACTGTGTAAAGTAATACAATGTGAGCAGGTTACTGCTTCGCTGCAGAGGGATTTAGATAGGTTGGAGGACTGTGCACTCAAATGGCAGATAACATTTAATATGTATAAACACAAAGT